GATTGGGTCATTTCTTCTCTTCACTGTTAAGTTCTGAGGGGTTTTTTTGTTGTTGTTGTTGTTGTTGTTTCTGAGGGCTTTTATATATTCTGGACACAAGTACTCTATTAGATACATGGTTGCTTGAATTTTAACATCACTCAAAAAAAAAAGTAAATTTACCAACTTTTCTTGCAGGATCAATTATTAATTAGTGTGTTTTATCTAGTCAAATGAAGTATAAAATGGAGATCTAGGAAGGTCATGAAAAGAGTAAATGCTTGAAATAAATACATGTTATGAAATCAAAGCTAAGAATTACTTGTGGGCGTCTAGGGTACCTAAAGGCCAATACTAATGTACAAAAGAGAAATCATGGGGCCAAGGTTATGAATCAGTGTTACAGAGTTTTGCTATCATGAACAAGGCCCTAGGTTTGATTCCCCAGCACCCCACAATAACCATGTACTAAAAGTGAAAACAAATGATTGTGTTCATAAACAGGAAAAATCCTAGCATTTCTTTCTTTCTAATCCTGTTGACTGTTAGAATTTGTCTAGTTACAGTGGCAAGAATTACAAGATTTAGGCCCATATCAATTTCAGTAACGAAATAGAGAGCAGTGGATGATCTGGGTGAAGTATGAAAGTGAAAGGGGGAGTGATTTATGTTCTTAAAAATCTCAGGCTATTCTGTTAATGTTGCGCTTACAGTGATCCAAAAGTTGCCCCCTCCCCTTTTTTTTTTTTGACTTGTAAATTCCTTTTCCGCAAGTGTGGCTTAAAAGTGGTTCTCATTAACTGTGCAGCATTGCCATCTGCTGTTGGAAAGTGGAAGATAACTGCTTCCTTGCCAGGAAAGCAGGTGTTGAGAAAGTCTGTCTGTAATGTTACATATATTAAATGATAGAGGAGTGATTCAGGTAGGGAAAAGAGTTAAATTTGTGGTCTGGCTTTATGGACTTTAAATGTGAAAACTTATACTGCACAATTAGCCTAGTAAAAGATTCTTCCATATTTCTGACCTGTGCCTTTCCCCCTTTAAGAAGCAATGAGAGCTACTTTCTTAGATGTGCTTTGATGTTAAAGGTAGGAGAGAAGAGAATATTTTACTTTATTGATATTTTTATTCCTAAATATGACTAAATTTAAACTTTGTGGAACCAAAATTCTTTCATTTCCTTTTACTTATGCCAAAAATTGGACATTTGTGCTTTTGGAAAAAAGAGTTAATTGCTACTAAACCTTGATTTCAGCTAGAAAATAAGAATATTTGCCTTTGATATCAGGCTTGCAGAAAAACATATCAGCATTAAAAAAGGGACATTATCTGTTTTCCTTCATTTTTTTTAGCATAATACTCAATGATTTGTGTAATGTAACCGAAAACAATGCAGTTTCAGTAAAACTTGTTATACATTGTCTTGAACCCCTGTTTGTTTAATGGATACTGACCTGCAATTTATACAAATTCACTTGTAAGTGTTGAATTGGAGATTTTTCTGTAAAATTTCTCAAATAAAGGCTAGCAGAAACCATATCAGGTGTATTTTTCTAATATTCTAAAGTATCTCTTTGTTTTAGCAGTAATCTCCATGTTTCTAGTTTGGGTTTGGGGGGATTTTTTTTTTTTTTTTTTACCAGTCCTTGGGCTTGAACTCAGGGCCTGGGCTCTGTCCCTGAGATTCTGTACTGACTCTACTACTTAAGCCACAGCGCCACTTCCAGCTTTTTTCTTTTTGCTTATGTGGTACTGAGGAATCGAACCCAGGGCCTCAGGCATGCAAGGCAAGCACTCTACCACTGAGCCACCTTCCCAGCCCTCCCATGGTTTATTTTTAAGTATAGCAAATAACACTTGATACATTAAGGGAAAAAAATATTGTCTATAATTTACTCCAGATGGATAAAGTTAATATTAGCTAATAAATGCTTATTATATATAAATCATGCCTAAAGTAATAACTATATGTACTCAGAAAGACTAGGGAGTCTATAAGCCCAGAATTCCCAATAGCTCTTTTATTTTGAAACCACTTGGAATTATTTCTTCAGAGAGCCTTCTCCTTGTCCTCATTCCTAAAATATTCCCCTTGGGCTTGCTTTTTTTTGCTCTATCACGTCTATGCAAAACCTCACTTGAGAAAATAAAGGCCATTTTCTTATTTCTTTCACAACTTTTAACATTTTTCACAAGCATCAAAAATGTTTTGTAAGCTTAACACTGGTCACTCAGACCTGTAATCCTAGCTATTCAGAAAACAGATCTGAGGATCACAATTCAAAGCCAGTAGGAAAGTCTGTGAGACTTTTATCTCCAATTAACCACCAGAAAACTGGAAGTGGAGCTGTGACTTAAAGTGGTAGAGCTCTAGCCTTGAGCAAAAGGAACTTAAGGGACCACACCCAGGCCCTAAGATCAAGCCCCACGGCCAACAAAAAGTAAATTTTGTTCTCACTGATATTTTAGAGAACAAATAATTTAGCAAAAATTACAAATGAATTTTATAGTCTAGTAGAATTATTGTATACTTGTTGGGTATTAACACATCTTTTGTAACTTATTAAGCCTATCTATTAGTGTCCATTATGTGAGTCACAATTTAAATTTTTCTAGTGCCACATTAAGAAGGTGCCAGTACCTCATGCCTGTAATCCCAGCTTCTCTGGAGGCTGAGGTCTGAGGATCATGATTCAAAGTCAGCCCCGGTAAGAAAGCCCATGAAACTGATCTCCAGTTACTAGTAAAAAGCTGGAAGTGGAGGTGTGGCTCAAATGGTAGAGTGCCAGCTTTGAGCAAAAAGAGCTAAGGGAAGAGTCTAGTCCCCTGAGTTCAAGCTCCAGTTCAGACAATCAAAAAAAGTAAAATCAGAAGCCAGGTGCCAGTGGCTCACGCCTGTAATCCTAGCTACTCAGGAGGCTGAGATCTGAGGATCGAGGTTCAAAACCAGCCCCAGCAGGAAAGTCCGTGAGACCCTTACCTCCAATAAACTACCAGAAGACCAGAAGTGGCGCTGTAGCTCAAGTTGTAGAGCTCTCACCTTGTGCTGAAGAGCTGAGGGACAGCGCCCAGGCCTAGAGTTCAAGTCCCACGACCGACAAAAAAAAAATCAGGAAAATAAAATTGAACAATATGTTGCCACATGTAAACATTATAGAAGTAATTTACAATCTTTTTATATAAAATCTGAAATCCAGTGTTTATCTTATAGCTATAGCACATCTCCAAACGAGCTACAACACAAGTGTGCAGTAATTACATGTAGCTTGCTAGTGGCTACTAAAGTAAACAGGCAAGGCTTGGGGTTAGGTCAATTCTTTAGCCTTTACAGTAATTCTATGACCCCTGACAAGTCTGTCCTTCAAAAATGTGAAAACTTCTGTAGTATCAAGTGCTAACTATTCATTGGTTAATATAAAACATGGACATAGTCTATTTTAACAAAAGGTACTTTGAAATCAAGTTATACTTTCAGAATTAATGTTGAGTATTTCTAGACTTAAAAATATTCAAAAATAACCAGGCATCAGTGGCACATGCCTGTAATCCTAGCTATTCAGTGAGATCTGAAGATCCAGGTTCAAAACCAGCTGGGGCAGGAAAGTCTGTGAGACTGATCTCCAAATTAAGCACCAGAAAACCAGAAGTGGCGCTGTGGCTCAAGTGGTAGAGTGCTAGCCCTGAGCAAATGAAGCTCAGGGACAGTGCCCAGGCCCTGAGTTCAAGCCCCAGGATTGGCCAAACGAAAGGAACACTGAAGAGCTGTAGGGAGGCCAGAGGAATGTGAACTCAGCCTTTATACCACTATACCATTTTATCAATTCTGCCTTTCTCCAGTATTTGTTATCCTTATCTGCTTAATACCCTAGAATGAATCCTCAACTATATCTTTTCCAACCATATCACAACTGATCACAAAGTTCTAAATGTTCCTCCAGAGGGATTTCTTTAATCTGGCCCTCCTTCTCACTCACTGACACTGTCTCAGCATCTTTCAGGTTACAAATTGTGTCCTAACTCACCTCCCTGCCTCTAGCCTTTATCTTGCACTGTGTCATTAGAGTTATGCTGGGGAAGAAAGTGTTAACTAAGACTTACCAGAAAAATTGGGACACATGGTGCCTACTGATAGACTCCATTAAAAACTCTCCAATTCCCCTTGCTTATAGGAAACACCACAACTCTGTTAAAACAAAAAACTCGTGTGTGTGCGTGTGTGTGTCTTCTACTTAACTGGACATTCACCCTGGGCTCCTTCAAATTCCTAGCTCTTTGTTAATCAGCCTTATCACATTTAGCCAGTGAGCCTCCCTGTATCAGTTTGTGTAAGAGAAAATATGAGAACTAAGTGCCATAATACATGGAAAACAGTGTCCAGAACATAATAATCAACACCTATTATCTGTTACTCCTGCGATGTGGGTTATATTCCCACAGGTTTATACACTGGGGGAAGAAGTTTGCTGGCGATGTAATGAAACATTTGTTGGGTGTATTCCAGATCCCTCGATGACTTGAGGGCCAGGAGCGTCTTCCCGCAGAGGATCCATTCTCAGTGTCTGGCACCAGCGGCTCAAAGAACGTTTCCTGAGAACAGATGGTCAGCGAACTGGAAAACGGCAGATGCCGAGTCTGGAAAAAGAACATGGGGAAGAGAGGGCCTGGAGAGTTGACTTCGAATTGTAAGAAGGCGGAGGGAACTGAGGCAGCTTCGACAAAGAGCCGCGAGGAAAGTCTTTCGGCTTGCGATGCCTATGGCTACCATTCTGCCAGGAACTGCTTGCTCAGTATGGCGCAGGTGAGGCCGGAAAGCAGGAAGAGGACGCAGCAAGGGAAGCGGGAGGCCTCTGCCCCGTGAGAGCCCCGCGGCTCCTCGGCGTTCTAACCCGGCCGTGGGCCCCGCTTCCCCTCCGTCCCCCGCCCGGGCCCGGGCCCCGAAGGCAGGAAGCCCCAGCAGCCAAAGAGGCGGAAGACAACCTCGCCGGGGCCGGAAACGTAGTGAAACGCTTCCGGGTCAGGGGTCAGGAGCCACCATGGAACCTAGCAGTGGCCGAAGGGCCGTCGGGACCCCGGGCGGGCGTCTGAAGTGAGGAAGGCGCTGTGCGTTCAGCGCCTCCGGGGACACGCGGGCCGGTGTCCCGGAGTGCCAAGGCCGCCGCCATGTCGGTGCTGGGCGAGTACGAGCGACACTGCGATTCCATCATCTCGGACTTCGGCAGCGAGTCCGGGGGTGGCGGGGACGCGGGCCCGGGGCCCAGCGCCAGCCCGGGGCCGCGAGCCGGCGGCGGCGCGGCGGAGCAGGAGGAGCTGCACTACGTCCCCATCCGCGTCCTGGGCCGCGGCGCCTTCGGGGAGGCCACGCTGTACCGCCGCACCGAGGTAGCGGCCCTCGGCTCCGGCCGCAGCCGGCCGCCCGCCCCGAGCCCCTCCCGGCCGGCCCCGCTCTGCGGCCCCCCCGGCTCAGCCCGCGTCTTGCGCCTCCTCTCTTAGCGTTTAGATGCCCGCGGAGCTTTTGCACTCGTTTTGCACTGGCTAGATCACCGATTTCACTAGCTAACTGTTCATTTTTGTCTAAAGGGGGTCGCTGAGCAAATCACTGAAGCGTCTCAGACTTAAAGTCTTCCCCATTTGTAAAATGAACTTAGTGATAACTATTTTTTAAATGGTCATTTGAAAAAAACTACTCTTTTGAGAAGCAAACGAAGGCGCTTTGCAAACTGTAAAAGTGTAATAAGAACGAAAGATATTGCTAAACTTTCCTTCCTCTCTGGTTCTCGATGGGTAGGTAGGTTTGGGGAAGAGGAGTATTGCATCAAAAAATAGCCACATCCGCAGCACCTCTGCTAGTTTTGTTACTATTTTTAAGTTCCGAAGTGATCGATCTCTCGTTCCTTGAAAATTACTGGGAAGATTGCCCTGTATTAATTTCTTCATCAGCATTTATCCTGTAATTTTTAAGTCTGGGAAATGCTGTATTTATTGAGCTATTAGTTCTTAACTGTTATAGGAGCAATGACTCCTTTGAGAACCCAGCCTAAGCAAAATGATCTTTCTCCCTCACCTTCACCCCACATACGTATTTATGCACGTGCTTGAGAGGCTTCCATGGATCACTGATTCCCAAATTAAGAACGTGTGCTGATTTAAAACCCTGCAGTGCCATAAGTTGGATTTGATCACTAAAGTCTGAAAACGATAGCTTTAGGGTAGACATTTATTGAAAACTTGATGAGGTGGCTGAAGGTGATTCATACATCCCTGATCCAGCTGTAGTACAAGTGTCTGTTCCAAGCTAACATGTGTTGTTTGGTTTGATTTTCTGTGCTGGGGAAGAACTTAAGGCCTTGTGAATGCTAGGGAAGTGCTCAACTATTGACTTACACCACCCCCCCCCACCCCCCCCCACCCCCCCCCCCCCCCCCCCCCCCGCAGCATATAAGACTGAAAGATGGATGTGCCCAGTTGCAAGGGAGTGTCTTTAAATGTTCTTTTTTATTCTGTTACGCATTGATAGATACAATATTTGATTTTCAGTCAGCTCTTTAAAATTTGTACTCCGTATAAGATGAACATTGATGTTCGTATTTTCCAGAGAAGCTCAGAGTATTTAAGCAACTTACCTGCTTAAAGTTTAGAAGTAAATCTTAGACTAGAAGTAGTTTCACATCTTTTTTTCACATCCTATTCCATTATAATCATGTTGAACTTGGTTATTAGTTTTGAGTTAAATTTGATTATACTTTCTCAAAATTGTAGCATTATATTGCCAAGTATGTAATTAGATCTATGAATTAACAAAAACTTTTTGGAGGGGGCTGTCTTGGTGTTTTAACTTGCTTGGCATGTGTTCTACTACTTAAACCATACCTTAGTCTTGCCAAGGTGTAATTATAAGCAACCCTTTTCCTCAAGGTTCAATTTCAGTGAGATGTTAGCCATATAACAAATAGCACTACAGATGTTAATGTGAACAAATGAGCAAGAACTGACAGATAACATTTCAGTGTTTGCTGAAAATTAAGGAAATTGTTTCATTAAATAAATGTATGATAAAAAAAAAGGTTCAAAGTTTCCAGCCAGGCACAGTGCCTCATGCCTGTAATCCTAGCTACTCAGGAGGCTGAGATCTGAGGATCGAGGTTCAAAGCCAGCCTGGGCAGAAAAGTCCCCATGAGACTTATCTCCAGTTACCCACTCAAAAACCAGAAATGTGCCTGTGGCACAAAGTGGTAGAGCACTAGCCTTGAGCAAAAGTGCTCAGGGACAGCACCCAGAGCTTGAGTTCAAATACCAAGCCCTTTAGCTAAAAACAAACAAAAAAAAAACTCAAATTATTTAATGGCCTGACAGAGGCATTCAAAAAGAGTATTATATAGGTGGGAATGCTGATGAGCTGGGAAGCAGTACCTGGGAAGAATTAGAGGATCAGAAAAGGGAATAGACCTGAGCTACAGGTAAGTTTTCATAGGGGAAAATGTGATATATGAAAGACTATAAGGATGCAAACTGGGATATGACTTATTCTTACCAAAAATGGTATATGAAAATAACTAGTGAGGTCTAAATTTATAAAATCAAACAGGTGGGGCTGGGAAGGTGGCTCAATGGTAGAGCGCTTGCCTTGCATGCCTGAGGCCCTGGGTTCAATTCCTCAGCACCACATAAGCAAAAAAAAAAAAAAAAATCAAACAGGTTTAGCACTTCCATTTTACAGTATTCTGTACTGAGCTCTCCTTCCCCAATATTCTAGCCCTACCTACTGCAATTTCCAACATGACTACCTGTTTTATAGCCTACTCTTTAGTAGGATTTTTGAGATCTCCCACCCTAAATTTTTTTCCTGGTAATGATGCAGGTTAACTAAATTAAATCTAAATTACCCCCCCCCCCCCAATGGTGCTTAACCTCAGGACTTGGATACTGTCCCTGAGCCCTTTTTGCTCAAGGCTAGCACTCTTACCACTTTGAGCCACAGCATCACTTAATATCACAAACTTTCCTGCCCAGGCTGACTTTGAACCCCCAATCCTCAGATCTCAGCCTCCTGAATAGCTAGAATTACAGGTGTGAGCCACTGGCATCGAATTTTAACTGTAATCTTAATGCTTTGTTTTCTCCTGCAATAAGTTAATAGTGCTCAATTATATGTAAAACTCCTAAAGACTGTATAAAGGAAAAGGTAAAAATCAATCTTTGCCTATCTAGGAAGTTTTCTTTCTAAGCTTACAAGTCCAGGTATGGATTCTCTTCCTGCCAAGCAAGAGGGAAGTACATTACACCATTACTGTGTTGCAGGATGACTCACTGGTTGTGTGGAAGGAAGTTGATTTGACCCGACTCTCTGAGAAGGAACGTCGTGATGCCTTGAATGAGATTGTTATTCTGGCACTGCTGCAGCATGACAACATTATTGCCTACTACAATCACTTCATGGACAATACCACCCTGCTGATTGAGCTTGAATATTGTAATGGTAAGGTAGAATTTAATGGGACTTCCTCCACAAGTTATTTTTCCTGCCCATGCTTAACTTGAGGGGAAGAGTACAATAAAGCAAATGCCATGACAAAACTTTAAATGAATTTCTCAAGTTAAAGACAGATGGTTGAGGCCTTGGAAAGTTATGAAGAGGTGCTGTACAAATAAGGGGATGGATTCTTATAATCCTAGTTCAATATTCAAATTAGTTTTTCATTTGGACTTGTATTTATTTTTAATGGCTTTTCATCTTGAAATGACATCAGTAGCAAATTATAGGTATGGTATGGTTTCGATACTACACAGTATGATATTTAATGAAGTGGTATTTACTTATTTTAACTTTAGCTAAATCTATCCTATTGAGAAATGGTCCTAGGTAATAACTTAATAAATATGATTGTAAAGCACAACCTTATTTTTCTAGTCTCTGTTTCTCTGAACTTTTTTTCCCCTCTAGTCCTGGGGCTTGAACTCAGGGTCTGGGCACTATCCCTGAGCTTCTTTTGCTCAAGGCTAGCACACTACCACTTGAGCCACAGCGCCACTTCCAGCCTTTTCTGTTTATGTGGTACTGAAGAATTGAATCCAGGGCTTCAGGCTTCATGCATGCTAGGAAGCACTTTACCAATAAGCCACATTCCCAGCCTGCTTAGTTTATTTATCTTAAAATGAGTTTATTGATTACAGTACTACTTTCTAATAAGGCTTAGTGTAAATGTGTAAAACTTTAGTATGTAGCAAGTGATTCATACCTATTGTACTATTACCCTTTTCTGAGCAGTATGTGCATCACTTACAGCTTTACTGTCTAGACTTTTGTGGTTCAGGATTGTTTCTGGTTCTAACTTATTACATAAGATTGTGTTACTTTTTTTGTGTGTGTGCCAGTCCTGGGGCTTGAACTCAGGGCCTGGGTTCTGTCCCTGAGATTGATTGATTGATTAATTGATTTTGGTTAAGGCTAATGCTGTACTACTTAAGCCATAACTCCAATTCCAGCTATTTTTGGTAATTAATTGGAAATAAGAGTCTCGAGCTTTCTTGGTGCTACTGGCTTTGAAGCATGATCTACAGATCTCAGCCTCCTGAGTAGCTAGGATTACAGGTATTACCTGATACAACTTTTTTTGTTTGTTTTTGGCAGTCCTGCAGCTTGAACTCAGGGCCTGAGCACTGTCCCTGAGCTTCTTTGGCTCACTCTACCACTTGAGCCACAACTCCACTTCTGGCTTTTTCTGCTTATGTGGTACTGAAGAATCAAACCCAGGTCTTCATGCATGCTAAGCAAGCACTCTTACCACTAAGCCACATTCCCAGCCCGACACAACTTTTTGAAATAACAGTAACTTTAAGTAGTTAACTTTCTTTATAGTTAGGAAGTTCTAGGACAAATGATAGTTGTTAGAACTCTGAGTTACTAAATTAGAGTATAAGAGAAGTTGTAGAGCTTTAGCCCAGAGTAAAGTATAAATTGTAGCCTTGGGTAGGAAATAAAATGAATCATGATAATTTGTAGTCTCTATTACTTGATAAAGGAAAGAGAAGTAAATTCTCATTTAACCCACAGGGGGAAAAAATAGTAAATGGAGTAATGATTAGAAAATCCAGGAGTAGCCCCTAAAACTTGAAGAAACCTTCTCAGTTGGAACTGGAAATAAATACCCAGTATATATGAAACATTGCATCACAGATGTAACCCCAACAACTTGGAGAATTACTATAGAACTATTGCAGATTTCTTGAAATGAAGTTCAACAAAAGAAATTAATTGCGCTCATGACTGTAATCCTAGCTACTCAGGAGGCTGAGATCTGAGGATTGAGGTTCAAAGCCAGCCTGGACAGGAAAGTCCATGAGACTCTTATCTCGAATTAACTATCAGAAAACCAGAAGTGGCATTGTGGCGTGGCTCAGAGTGATAGAGTTCAAGCCCCACGACCAACAGAGAGAGAGAGAGAGAGAGAGAAATTATCTGACTGTGAAGCTATTTCACTAATTGAAATACTACACAACTGGTCTTTACTCTTATCTTTTATTTTTACTTATTTAGTCGGTTGTGGGGCTTGAACTCTGGGTCTGGGCACTGTCCCTCAGCTCTTCAGTTCAAGGCGAGCACTCTAACACTTGAGCCACAGCACCACTTCCAGTTTTCTGGTAGTTAATTGGAGATTAGAGTCTCATGGACTTTCCTGCCCAGGCTGGCTTTGAACCTCAATCCTCAGATCTCAGCCTCCTGAGTAGCTAAGATTACAGGCATTAGTCACCAGCACCTACTTTCTTATCTTTTCTTAAATGTCATACATAGGCATGGGTGATGGTACTCCTGTAATCTCAGCTACTCAGGAGGCAGAGAAAGGAAGATCAAAAGTTGAGGCCAGCCAAAGAGAAATAAAAACCAAAGGGTTGGGTACGCAGCTCAGGTGATTGCCTAGCAAGTGTGAAGCTCTGGGTTCTGTCCCTAGTACTACTAAGTTAATTGTTAGTTAAAATGTCCTACTTCTCATTTTTTTAACTGATCCTTTTCTATTAGGGAAAGGTGTTTCTGAACCACATTTCTGACATAGAAATAAGAATAGTTTTATACTCAGGTAAAAAACCAAGAGGGAAGAAGTCATTTCCTTTGGAAAGGAAGCAGAATCCTTCATGTCAGCTGTTAAAACTTTGTAAAATAAAGGATCCAAGCTTTGATTTATGAGGCATTCAAACTTGGTTTTTTTTTGTTTGTTTAATTGTAGGAGGAAACCTGTATGACAAAATCCTCCGTCAGAAGGACAAATTATTTGATGAAGAGGTAATTTATGTGTCTATGAAAGGAAGCTAAAGTTATAATGTTTAATTTCTGAATTCTGGTTCTGTAATTACTCTTCCAACAATGAAGAGTGTCTTTTTCCTTTTGTTCAGACTCCCTCCAGGCTCTGATATTCATGAGAAAGAAAACCTAACAAGGAAGCTGTCTATAGCTCCTTCCTAAATGTTTTACCTCCACATCATGATTCACTGGGCTTTCTTTCCTGGTTTTATTACTGCATACTGGTATGCCCAGTTTTCTATGCCTTTGCATTTTTCCTGGGTTTCTTTCCTCGAGTCTGCTTATTACCATACTATATTTTGTAACTATATCCGAATTATATTATGACCTGTTTTTTCTTTTTTCCCCTACCAATTTTCTTTGCCTCCTCAATCTACAAGCAAGCAATGTCAAGTCATGTTGATTTATAACCTCTAGTTGCAGCTTCCTTTGCTTGGTATGTTTATTTTAATGGAGTCTTTGTTTCCAATCCAAATATATTTTATGTTTGCAGATGGTGGTGTGGTACCTTTTTCAGATTGTTTCAGCAGTGAGCTGTATTCACAAAGCAGGAATCCTTCATAGGTAATAAGTTTAAAAATTTATGGGGTGGATTCTTTCCTACTAATCTAATCCTTACTTAGAATTTCTCCTATTAAGCATTTTTTTTTTCTTGTCAGTTGTGGAGCTTGAACTCAGGGTCTGGGACACTGTCCCTGAGCTCTTTTGGTAGCAGTCTATCACTCTGAGCCACAATGCCACTTCCAGTTTTCTGGTAGTTACTTGGAAGTAAGAGTCTCACAGACTTTTCCTGCTGGGTGAGCTTTGAACGATGATCCTTAGATTTCAGCCTCCTGAGTAGCTAGGATTACAAGCATGCACCACCAGCACCATCCATTTTTTATGTTCTTGATTTAAGGAGTCAAGAGTTCCCCCCCCCCACACACTTTTATAAAGGATGGGAAAGAGTGAGTATTGAAGGATGTTAGCTTCACTTTCTGAAGTTCAGTCATCTTTGTGATCTACAAAGTCTCCTCAGTAACTAAGTGCCACTGATTATTTCTTTTAAATGTATCCTAGAGTTTACTTATTCAATTTATCAATAAAGCCTAGAAAGTGCTATAAAAAGTCATATCGGTTAGAATGTGTAGCAAGTATGAGCAATAATAATTGGCAGTTATTTTTAATTCTATGCTGAACCTAACTGTACAGCTTTACACTTTGATTTACTAATATAAATTCAATTTTATTTTCCCACTTAAAAGACAAGGGGCTGGAAAGTAGCTCAGTGATAAAGTACTTGCCAGCAAGTACAGTGTCCTGGGTTTAATCCCCAGTACCAATAAAGAAAAAGATAGGGGGGAAAAAAAGTTTAAATGTAGAAGGAAAGGGAATGCTGAGAGAATTTATGTTTTCATATACTCTTTAAAAAGATTTATAGCCCAGTATTGGTGGCTCACACCTGTAATCCTTGCTACTTAGGAGGCTGAGATCTGAGGATTGCAGTTCAAAGCCAGCCCAGGCAGAAAAGTCCATTGAGACTCTTATCTCCAATAAACTACCCAAAAAGCCAGAAGAGGAGCTGTGGCTCAAGCCCCAAGACTGGCAAACAAAAAGAAAAAAGAAGAAAATGTTTGACATAAGGAAATAATTCACAATTTTTTTTCAATTTTAAAATTAAGTTTTATACACACACACATATGTTTTTTTTTGGGGTGGGGGGAGTGGGCAGAGTTTGGTTGTGGTACTTAAACTCTGGGCCTGAGTATTGTCCCTCAGCTCTTTTGCTCTAGGCTAATGCTCTACCACTTTGAGCCACAGTGCCATTTCTAGTTTTCTACTTGTTAATTGGAGATAAGAGTGTCAGGAACTTTTCTGCCCGGGCTGTCTTTGAACCAAGATCCTGATATCTCATCTTCTTGAGTAGCAAGGATTACAGGCGTGAGCCACCGGTGCCTGGCAAGTTATATTAATTGAAATAAAAGCCTGCTTATGTTGTACAATTAACTGTATAGTTTTACTAATTTTTTTTTCCTTTGGTCAGTCCTAGGGCTTGAGCTCTGGTCCTAGGTGCAATCCCTGAGCTCTTCAGCTCAAGGTGAGTGCTCTACTTGAGCCACAGTGCCACTTTTGGTTTTCTGGTGCTTAATTGGGGATAAGAGTCTCACAGACTTTCCTGCCTGGGCTGGCTTTGAACCTCAATCCTCACATCTTAGCCTCCTGAGTAGCTACGATTACAGGCGTGAGTCACCGGTGCAGGCTACTAAATCTTTATTTGCCAAAAATTCAGAGGGGAAATGAAGTTTTCACTCACTTCTAACTGTAGATAAGAATCATTATAAGAACATTTCTGCATCATTAAACCCTTCTTAAGTGAGTCATAAGAACATTTCTACATCATTAAACCTTTAAGTGAGTCATTGACCATTGCCAGCAATTAATTATACCAGAGTTTCTTTTTATTGGTTTGTCCATTTAGTTAACACATTTATTGAAAGCTATTGAATGTCTACTATTGCACACTGTTACTTTCTTATTAAAAATAAAAAAATTCTGGCTTAGTCACATCTAGAGTGTGATCTAGATACAGATTATTTTATTTTACTTTATCTTATTTTATATATAGCAATTCACCTTTAAAAGATTAACCACTGACTTTCTTTAGGTAATCTAAAACAATCTAGTTATGTTGTTGTTGACATAGGAAGCCTCTTTTCCTGCTTTAGCAGATTATTTGAAACTATGACACCAGGCAGGTATTAAATCGCCTTGACATCAAATTTCAGGGAATCATAAGGCACATTCAGAGAATCACCAGGCACCATAGCTCACATCTATCATCTTAGTTATTTAGGAGGCTGAGATCTGAGCATTGCAGTTCAAAGGCAGAAAAGTCTGCGAGACACTTTTATCTCCAATAAACTACTTAGAAAAAGCCAGAAGTGGTGCTGTGGCTCAAGTGGTAGAGTGGTATCCTTAAGCACAAAGAGGCCCAGGCTCTTCAAGCCACCCAACCAACAGATAAAAAAATAAATAATTTTTTTTTTCAGGGAATAAGTATAGTTGCATAGGCAAAGTATCTTACAGATTATGATTGGCTGGGGCACTGTCTCATCTGTTTAATTGTTTACTAGCAGCTTCAGTGGCATGGGTGACAATCTTTTACTATCAAGTCCTAGAGAATAATATTCTCTGCCTTTACTCCCAAAATTCTCTCTTTAAAATGTTGTTAAAATGTGTGTGAAGCCGGGAGCTGGTGTCTCATACCTATAATCCTAGCTGCTCAGGAGGCTGAGAGCTAAGGCAGGAAGGTCTGTGAGACACTTATCTCCAATAAACTACCAGAAAACCAGAAGTGGCGCTGTGGCTCAAGTGGTAGAGTGCCTGCCTTGAGCTGAATTGCTGAGGGACAGCGCCCAAGCCCAGAGTTCAAGCCCCACGATCGACAAAAAAAAAAAAAAGGTGTGTGAAAGTGGGACATTTAGGACCCTGTAACAAAAACAGCAGAAGAAACACTCATTTTTATTCTGTACTAATCCTGACTGGGTGGGGGATGAGAATTGTTATAGGGACTTAATATGCAGTATCTTTTTTTTCAGAGATATAAAGACCTTAAATATTTTTCTGACTAAGGCAAACCTGATAAAACTTGGAGATTATGGCCTAGCAAAGAAACTTAATTCTGAGTATTCCATGGCTGAGACGGTAAGTATAGATTTCTTTTTCTCACTTAACACTAAGATATAACTATGCACTATCAATCTTGCTCAGTTTTCCAGTATTCTTGCACGTTATCCACACTACTAATGCAAGCTTTCAGATGTCTTGTCCTGGGCCTACTTGTGGTCATTTTTTTTTTTTTTTTTTGTCCGGTCGTGGGGCCTGAACTCTGGGCCTGGGCGCTGTCCCTCAGCTCTTCAGCTCAAGGCTAGCGCTCTACCACTTGAGCCACAGCGCCACTTCCGGCTTTTTTCTTTTTGCTTATGTGGTGCTGAGGAATCAAACCCAGGGCCTTAGGCATGCAAGGCAAGCGCTCTACCACTGAGCCACCTTCCCAGCCCCACTTGTAGTCATTTTTATGAGATGTTCTTTTAGACTCATTTTCCATATCACAGCTTTGACCTCATAGCTTTTTCCAGCACTCATTAGACAATTTTCTAGAAGAAACAAAATGCTGTACTTTTTTTTTCCTAGTTTAACATCTTCAGTATGTTTCATTTTATTTCCTATTTAATGTTTGAAGCTATGGTGAGATGTTTCTTTGTGTTTCTTTTGAGTGTTGCTTCTGGCTCGGAAAGAAGCACTCCATTGCAAGTTGAGGCTAATGCCAGAAAACAATCTGTTCTGTCATACACAGGTTATATTGGAGAGCTAGCTCTCTTCTTACCTGATTTGGAGAAAGATCATTGGTTAAAAAGCAGACTTAAATGATCTTAAGATAGTGATATTATCTTTTGACAATTATAAAACCCGATTGTTACTCTTCTGGTTTTACAGTACTCTGTCCTTAAAAGAACTTGAATATGTAAGTTAATAAAGTTAACTTCATCTTTGATAATGTCAAGATAGTCTGCAAGCAATTTAGAAATTCAATGTTTAGAGTCTTTGTTTCAGGACCTCAGTTATATGTTGTTGGCCAAATTAAGCTTCTAGGGAAGCAATTGTGTCCTTACATGGAATTTTTTTTCTTACTAAGAACAATCTGATAAAACCCAAGAGTTGACTTCTTTTCAGCTAGTTAGATGCAATGAAAGAATTACATGAAAAAATACAAATGATATGTAAGCTATTTGGAAATTTGTTTGCTGATTAAAGATGTCTGTCAGTTTTGTTAGAATTGCCGGGGCATACATTGTCTCTTAACTTTTGGAGTATTTATATAGATTTTTATTTCCAGACCTTTTTTTTCTTGGTCCGGTTGTGGGGCCTGAACTCTGGCCTGTGCGCTGTCCCTCAGCTCTTCAGCTCAAGGCTAGCACTCTACCACTTGAGCCACAGTGCCACTTCCGGCTTTTTTCTTTTTGCTTATGTGGTGCTGAGGAATCAAACCCAGAGCCTCAGGCATGCAAGGCAAGCGCTCTACCACTGAGCCACCTTCCCAGTCCCATTTCCAGACCCTTTTATTGTTTATCGTTTGTGTTTTTTGAGACAGGTGTGGTATGTAACACAAGCTAGCCTTGAACTCAAGGTTCTCTTGCTTCATCCTCCCAAGTCTGACTAGGATTACATTATAAGCATGTACCACCATATCTAGCTTCCAAGTCTATTTTTAAAGTAAAATCCAAAGAAGTTCACTATGTTAGTACCACAAATGTCAAGTGAGCCATTGAGAAAGTTCCATTTACATCCCAGTTAGGACTTTTAACCCCTTTATTCAATTGCTATTTCCCTACTGCCATTGTTTGACTATTCCCCCTTGGTGAGCTTTCAGCATGACTCTGTTTATGAAATCTTTAGTAGACTTTATTGCTTAAAGCCTATGTTAATGAGTGTTTTATGGTTATTATTCCTAATTCTTAGAAATTTTAATTTAGTTGTTGAACTATTAATTTAGTTACCTCAGAAAAGAAGTTATCTTTGTTTCTTTATTGTTTAGCTTGTAGGAACACCATATTACATGTCTCCAGAGCTCTGCCAAGGAGTAAAATACAACTTCAAATCTGATATCTGGGCAGTAGGCTGTGTCATTTTTGAACTACTTACACTAAAGAGAACTTTTGATGCTACAGTAAGTTGGTGAATTATCCCCATATTGTGAATGGTACATATTGGTTAAGTAATCATGTATCTTTGAACTTCTTGCTTTTTTATTTTTTGCTGGTGTGAGGGCTTTGGGCTCATTCAGCTTGCTAGCTCACAGTTGGCTCTATCATTTGTGCCACACTTTTAGCTCATGCACGAGCTTCTGAATTCTTACACATATATCACCTGTAGTCAAAAATAACCTATAGTCAGGCACTGAATTCGTAGTATATTAAATGTAATAGACTATATTTATCTCCAATTTGAATTTCTCATTGAATGATCATCTAACAGTTTGGGCACTTACACTTAAACTTGACTATAATTTTAAAACTGGCTTTAGGGTCATCCATATTATATTGTAGTTTAAAAAAAAGTGATTTCTTGAGCTTCATCTCATAATTTTTTTAAAAAGCTAAGGTGAATTATCTAAAACCTCAGTGTTTTAATCATTTTTTATGAAGAAATCACTCTCATTAAAAACTCATAAGTTTATGGACAACATGTCCCTTTAGGTGTTTCTTTCTTTCTACTTTTTTTAACTAAAAAACATGAGGCACATCTTGTTACAATGCAGGTTGTCAGAGTGGGAAAGAGAGGATATTCTGCATTTCTAGCAAACTCCCAGACAGAAGTTTATTTTGGTGTACTTACCCATCTAGTTCTCCTAAATAATACAGTGAAAGAAAAATAACTTTTGGAGTCAGGTAGACTTTGATTAGAATGATGACTTCACTTTTTTTCTATGTAATTTTGGGCACATAACTTTATATCTCTAAGTTGTGTTTTTCTTTTGTACAAATTGAGAATGATAGTAACTTTATTGTGATATAAGAGGTTTTATTGGATTTAAGAGGTTCATATATGTAATATGCCTATCTAGTTTATAGTGATCTTTCATTAAAATGGTGATGGTGGTGGTAATGTATAATTATCACCTTATGTTATGCTTTGTCTTTTATTTATTGTTTCACCTGTTAGTCATTATTGGGATGTATACATTAGTAGGCAAATTAATTGACAAGGGAGTTAAGGCTAAGAAACATAGCTAATCATGCTGTTCTGTTTGCTGAGATTCAGTCCATGGGTCAAATTATAATCAGAGCAATATGCTATGGGCCACACAATAATAGCATTAAATTCCATGTTGACTAGTTAGCTTTATTCCATCTGATAGAAGCAGTACATTCCTAGCCTCTTACTGATAAATATTAATGATTATAAAATTTAACCAGAACTTATGAGTTCTTTAAATAATGGCTACAGAGATCTCTTAAGTCCCTGCTGGTAGGATAGTGTAACCAGAAACAATGCAGTTATCATTTTCTCATAGAATCCACTCAACCTGTGTGTGAAGATTGTGCAAGGAATTCGGGCCATGGAAGTTGATTCCAGTCAATACTCTTTGGAATTGATTCAAATAGTTCATGCATGCCTTGACCAGGTAGATATAACTTACATATTGATTTTAGTGTCATGTTTTTTCCTTCTAGCCTCAATGTTTAGGATATGGCATAGTTACAAATCACACAAAACCACATCTACTTCCCCAAGGTAGAATATGTGTATGTGGCTATACTCAGAATATACATTGGCAATTCATGATAGTTATGTGCCTCAACAAACACAACCTTCCCTTATTCTGCTCTGTAGTTATTTGTGAGACAGTGTTTTTGTTTGGGGATTTTTTTTTTTGTCAGTCATGGAGCTTGAACTCTGGGCCTGGGCACTGTCCCTCAGCTCTTCAGCTTAAGGTGAGTACTCTATCACTTGAGCCACAGCGCCACTTCTTGTTTTCTGGCGATTAATTGGAGATAGGAGTCTTATGGACTTTCCTGCCCCGGCTGGCTTTGAACCACGATCCTGAGATCTCACCCTCCTGAGTAGCTAGGATTACAGGTGTGAGCCACCAGCACCCAGCTTGTGAGACAGTTTTGATGTCTAAATTCTGCTCTTTTTGTTTTGTTTTTTTTTTTGATCGGTCCTGGGGCTTGAACTCAGGGCTTGGGTGCCATCCCTCAGCTCTTCAGCTCAAGGCGAGTGCTCTACAACTTGAGCTACAGCTCCACTTCCGGTTTTCTGGTGGTTTATTGGAGATAAGAGTCTCACGGACTTTCCTGCCCGGTCTGGCTTTGAACTGCAATTCTTAGCTCTCAGCCTCCTGAGTAGCTAGGATTATAGGCATGAGCCACTGGCATCCGGCTGCTCCATTTTTTTATAAGCAAGATTCATTTCTAAAGCTGGTGGTTCATAGTAGTTCATACCTGTAATTCTAGCTACTCAGGTGACTGAGACTTGTGATCTTGGTTTGAAGCCAGCTCAGGTAGAACATCCATGAGGCTCTTATTTCCAGTTAACTAGCAAAAAGCTGGAACTGGAACTGTGGCTCAAGTGCTGAGTTCTAACCTTTAATGGAAAAAGCCAAGTGAGAGTATGAAGCCCCTGAATTCAAGCCCTAGGACCAGCATGGGGGAAGAAAAAAAGATTGATTTAAGTTGATTTTTTTAAAAATTATACCTAGTGGTAATTTAGAGTTCCTTATATACACAATGTATATATATAGTTCTATTATAATTCCCTTACTGTGTATGTAATACTAATTTTATTCAAAGTATTGTCAGAGAACTACTGATACCATAATCCCTAGTGAGTAGAGAAACTACAAGTAAAAATGAAAATTGCTGGGCCCTTCCACAGGCCAACAGAATGTCTAGATAAAACCAGAAGTCTTTATTTGTAACAGGTATACCAGGTGATACTTTGGTGCTGTATGTATTGAGATGTGTGAGCTTATTATTATTGAATAATAAGGTAAGGTAATTGTAGACATTCTCATTCGTGTGCAGTGTTGATGATGATGGGGCATTAAATGTGGACTATGACATAAGAAATTGCTATTTTGGGGGCTGGGAAGGTGGCTCAGTGGTAGAGTGCTTGCCTTGCATGCCAGAGGCCCTGGGTTCGATTCCTCAGCACCACATAAACAAAAAGAAAAAAGCTGGAAGTGGCACTGTGGCTCAAGTGGTAGAGCGCTAGCCTTGAGCTGAAGAGCTGAGGGACAGTGCCTAGGCCCAGAGTTCAGGCCCCACGACCGGACCCAAAAAATAAAAATAAAAATAAATATTTCCCCCATTTAAAAAAAAAAAAAGAAATTGCTATTTTTGAAATTAAAGAATAATATGCAGAAACTTTTAAATATAGACTTCTAAGAAGACAAATAATTCCTCATTAGGTCCCATATTACTCATCCCCTTTAAGTGAAAACTAATATTGTTTTGCTTTCTTAGGATCCTGAGCAGAGACCCACTGCTGATGAACTTCTGGATCGTCCCCTTTTGAGGAAACGCAGGAGGTAATGTACAAAAATCATCTCATTGTCTTTCCAGAGATGATTGAGAATAGTACAGGAGTGTCTCCTAATTTGGCTTCTCTAGTGCTCTTTTCTACCAACCCCTGCTTTCATTCCTTGAGGATACCTCTTATTTTATTCTAATTTTGTATTGAGACCCAAAAGCCCTTAATGGGTTTTTTGTTTGTTTAGTGCCCGTCCTGGGGCTTGAACTCAGGGCCTGGGTGCTCTCCTTTAGCTCTTTTGCTCAAGGCTGGCGCTCTACCACTTGAGCAACAGGTCTACTTCCAGCTTTTTGCTGATTTGTGGAGATAAGAGTCTTAGATTTGTCTGCCCAAGCTGGCTTCAAATGACAGTCCTCAGCTGGGTGCCAGTGGCTGATGCCTGTAATCCTAGCTACTCAGGAGGCTGAGATCTGAGGATCATAATTCAAAGCTAGCCTGAGCAGGAAAGTCTGTGAGACTCTTATCTCCAATAAACCACCAGAAAATCAGAAGTGGCTCAAATGGTAGAACGCTTGCCTTGAGCTGAAGAGCTGAAGGACAGCGCCTAGGCCCAAAGTCCAAGCCCCATGACTGACAAAAAAGCTGTGCACCAGTGGCTCATGCCTGTAATCCTAGCTACTCAGGAGGCTGAGATCTGAGGATCACGGTTCAAAACCAGCCCAGCAGGAAAGTCTGTGAGACTCTTATCTCCAGTAAACCACTTAGAACACCGGAAGTGGTGCTGTGGCTCAAGTGGTAGAGCGTTTGCCCAGGCCAAGAGTTCAAGCCCTACGACCAACAACAAAAAAAAGACAGATCTCAGTGGCTCAAGTAGCTAGGATTACAGGTGTGTACCACCATCACCTGGCCCTATATGCATTTTTTATTGAAGAGTGAAGACATTGATATTCTTAGGCTTGTATCTTTGAAAACAAAGATTTGAAACAAATACTTTAGTAGTATTAGAATTTAAACCCAGTATCTCTTCCTTGTAGCTTTCTTTTCAATGGGTCTCGTGCTTTTTGCCTGGGCTGGCCTTTTACCATAATCGTTTTGCTTCTCCTTGCCTACCAGATAGATAAAAGGGAGTCCAGGTGTGTACCACCACACCAACTTTGGTTTTGTTTTGATTTTTTAAAATTGTTATTTTTATTTTTGTTGATACTGGGTTTTGAACTCAGAACTTTGCACTTGGCTAGGCAAATGGATTACTACTTGAGCCACAATGCCACTTCTGGCCTTTTGTGAATAGTTTATTGGAGATAGGCATCTCATGAACTTTACTGCGTGTGCTAGCTTCAAACCACAATCCTCAGATCTCAGCCTCCTGAGTAGCTAGAATTATAGGAATGAGCCACCAATGTCCTGCTTCTGTGAGACCTATCTCCAGTTAACTACCAGAAAACCAGAAGTGGAACTGTCGCTCAAAGTGATAGACCACTAGCCTTGAGCAAAAAAGAGCTCATGAACAACACCCAGGTCCCGAGTTCAAGCCTCATGACCAACTCACGTCTGTAAGCTACTCAGGAGGCTGAGGTCTAAGGATCGGGGTTCAGCCCAGCCTGGGCAGGAAAGTCTGTGAGACTCTTATCTCCAATAAACCACTCAGAAAACTGAAAGTGGTAGAGTGCCAGCTTTGAGCTGAAGAGCTCAGGGACAGGACCCAGGCCCAGAGTTCAAGCCCCATGACTGACCCCCAAAAAAAACTATAACATAAAAGCATGGGCACAAGAAATTGTGGGAAGTACTCAAGAAACACATAGTCCGGGGCTGGGAAGGTGGCTCAGTGGTAGAGCACTTGCCTTGCATGCATGAGGCCCTGGGTTCGATTCCTCAGCACCACATAAGCAAAAAGAAAAAAGCCGGAAGTGGCGCTGTGGCTCAAGTGGTAGAGTGCTAGCCTTGAGCTGAAGAGCTGAGGGACAGCACCCAGGCCCAGAGATCAGGCCCCATGACTGGACCCAAAAAAAAAAAAAGAAAGAAACACATAGTCCTATTTGGCTAGATTAGTGGTTCTAGTCCTTCTTCAGGAGCTTTCAAAATTTCCAGTGCTTGGGTCTGTAGCCATAGGTCAGCAGTAGAATGCCAGCTCAGCATCTAAGGGGCTTGAGTTCAAACTCCAGTACTCTTCGGCTCAAGGCAAGCACTCTACCACTTGAGCCACAGCACCACTTCCAGTTTTCTGGTTGGTAATTGGAGATGAGTCTCACGGACTTTCCTGCCCGGGCTGGCTTTGAACCATGAACCTCAGATCTCAGCCTCCTGAGTAGCTAGGATTATGTTGAGCCACTGGCACCCAGCAAAAATAATTCTTAGTGGTAGGAAATTATTTGCATAAACTATTCCGAAATTTAAAAAGAAGAATTACTGATGTCTGCCTACTACCACAGTAGTTCATCAGTAGTAGAACAATAATAAATTTATGTTGAATAATAACCCTGGCTAGAACATGGATTCTTAGTGAAAGGAAGGAAGGTAGAGAATTTTGAATGCCAAGTTTGGCTCAAGAGAGTACAGAAATATTAAGTGATTGTGAAGAGCAGTTCATATGATGAGAGATGTACCTAAGGAAGAGTCATTTAGCAGCACTAGGATTAGGTTAAAATAGGACTAATGAAAGCAGATTAGGACTCTACTAGGTTTGGCTGGCTAGGAAGCCCTACTATAGTTCAAACGTTCACAACTAAGATGATAGGACTTTGGCAGGAAGAGTTGAGTTTTAAAAAGTATTGTGGTCAGACATGATGCCATATACCTGAAATCTCAGCACTTGGGAGGCTGAGGCACAAATATTTCAAGTTTGAAGCCACCCTAGGACATATAGCTAGTTGAAAGTCAGTATGGAAATCATTGTGAAATGCAGTCTCAAAAAGCAATGGCAAAGAGAAAAAGTACTGATAGGTAAACATATAGAAATGAAATGTTGAAGAAAGGAGAGAAGGGTTAGAGGTGACTGAATTTGGTTGGGAGAGAATGGGTGAGAGTGTTGCCAATTACAAAAATAAGGGTGTCAGCAGGACACATTGGTAGTTTCCGCCTATAATCCTAGCTACTCTAGAGGCTGAGATTTGAAGATTGCAGTTCAAAGCCAGCCTGGGCAGGCAAGTCTGTGAGACTCTTAACTCCAGTTAACTACCAAAAGGCCAGAAGTAGAGCTGTAACTCAAGTGATAGAGCACAGATCTGTGTGTGTGTGGGGGGGGGGGGGGGGGGGGGTGGGGGGGGTTATAGGGCTTGAACTCAGATCTGTGTGTGTGTGTGTGTGTGTGTGTGTATGTGTCGGTTATAGGGCTTGAACTCAGGGCCTGGAAGCTGTCCCTGAGCTCTTTGTTCAAGGCTAGCACTCTACCACTTTGAGTCATAGCTGCAGTTCCAGTTTTTGAGTAGTTACTTGGACATAAGAGTCTCAAAAGGCTGAGATCTGAGGATCTCGGTTCAAAGCCAGCCCAAGCAGGAAAATCCGTGAGACTCTTATCTCCAGTAAACCACTAGAAAACCAGAAGTGGTGCTGTGGCTCAAGCCTTGAGCTGAAGAGCGCAGGGACAGCGCCCAAACCCAGAGTTCAAGCCCCATGACCGACGAAAAAAAAGAGTCTCATGGGGACTTTTCTGCCGCCCAGGCTGGTTTCAAACTGTGATCCCCAGATCTTAGCCTCCTGAGTAGCTGATGTGAGCCACCCAGCACCTTGCTTTAAGAAAAAAAAAAAAAAGCTGAAGGACAGCGTGCCCAGACCCTGAGTTCAACCCCCAGGACTGGCCAAAAAAAAAGGGAGGAGGAATCAGAAAGTCAAGCTGGTTTGGAAGAAAGATAACAAGGGTAGGACTGGAGATTTTGCATTTGGGGCAGGTGGCCAAGTAGATGGAGATGTCCATTACTTGCATCAGAGGATCTATCATGTGTTCCCTGCTTCAGTCTAGTCTGTTTCTTGGAGATAAAAAGTAAATGGCCCCAAACCACTGGTCACTTTGTATCTAATGCCAGGTGTGAGTAACTGTTATATAGAGATATTTTCCTAAAAGTATTACCATATTGTAGGATGCTTATGATTAATAAGAGGATTCAGGTTGACATGTATTGAGACATATTGCAGTTTAGAATCTGTTGTTTTACTCATCCTTTTTTCATTTGGTAGAGAGATGGAGGAAAAAGTCACTCTGCTTAATGGACCTACAAAGAGACCAAGGTAATGTTCAAATGAGTCTGTATATCCTCGCTTCTCACCATGAAGATTAGTTGATCCCAGTAGCCTTTGAAATCCTGTCAGGAGTCAACATCTGCTTACATGTCAGACTCACTTCTGAGGAGAAAACTATAAGTCACCCTCATACTAAAGTAGATATCAGGACTGGGAAGGTGACTCAGTGGTAGAGTGCTGGCCTAGCATGCATGAAGCCCTGGGTTCAAGTCCTCAGTACCATATAAACAGAAAAGGCTGGAAGTGGTGCTGTGGCTCAAGTGGTAGAGTGCTAGCCTTGGGCAAAAGAAACTCAGGGACAGTGCTCAGGCCCTGAGTTCAAGCCCCAGGACTGGAAAAAATTTAAAAAAAAAAAAAAAAAAAGTGGGTATCATTGCATGGTGAGTGTTGGAAAGTATAAATGTTGCAAATCAGACTGGAATCTGTGATTCTACTCTGCCCTCAGGCAGGCTTTGCAAAGCAAGAGTTGAGAGAACATACTTTCTCAAACCAAGGTTGTCAATCCTAACCACAGCCTTCTTAGGTACTAATTGCACATTCAATGTGCCTTTGTTCTGGGGGTTGTTGGCAGGTCAAGTACCGTGACTGAAGCACCCATTGCTGTGGTAACATCACGAACCAGTGAAGTATATGTTTGGGGTGGTGGAAAATCCACACCCCAGAAATTGGATGTCATCAAAAGTGGCTGTAGTGCTCGGCAGGTGTGCGCCGGGAATACACATTTTGCTGTGGTCACAGTGGAGAAGGAACTATACACCTGGGTGGTAAGTGGAGGAATGCTGTCAGCCTGGTTGCTTAAGGGACCCATGCTTAAGGGACCCAAGCTGTCCTAATCATTTGTTAGTTAGCTGTGTTTCAGGACTACAAGAGGGAGTTGGTATATCAGCCCTTGTGAGAGCAAGGATTTGGTCTGCCCATAACTGGGAGGAAGGGGAGGGGAGTGTGGGAGTAGGGGAAGATGGGAGGGAATCTTAGGTTTGGAATCAGGTTGCCATTTACATTTGGATGATTTCAGACAAATTTGTTACTCTGTTAATGTTACTATGAGGGTCAGAACAGGAGTGTCTGTGAAATAGCTTTGTAAACAAAGCATATACCATGTCAGGAAGCCTCTGAGACCCTCACCTGTGATTGAAAATGACTGGTTATATCCTCCATACCCATACAGATTTTCCTTTGTTGCTGTCTAGTTTCTGCCCTGACTCTCACCTTCTTAACAAACTGTGCTTGCTGCCTATTTTCTTATCTCCCTCTCCTCACTCATCTACAATTGCAGCTTCATTCCCTGACATTCATTTGAAATGTGTCTTGAGCAAATGATAAATTGATAAAGCAAAATAGATGCTTTTTAACCCTTGCCTAGCTAGACCTCTCAGCAACGTTTGATATAGTTAACTACTCCTTCCTTCTTGAAGCTGTGTTCCATAATAGCATGTTTGCTTGGTTTCTCTCTGAGGGAGCTCCCCAACCCTCCCAGTAGTTTCAGATACCTTCTCAGTTAGTATAGGAACTAAATCTTAACTCGCTTCTGAAGCCCTAATACATGAGAGTGGACACACAAACTATTATTGAAATAAAGAATGAACGATTTGGCTTAGGAATGACAGTTTCCTGCTATTTCCTAACACCTACCTCCTTACAGTATTAGCCCCTGGGCAGTTACCAAAATAGAATGAAACCAGTACTTTAAAAACCATTTATAGGCTGGCACCGGTGGCTCACAACTGTAATCCTAGGGACTCAAAGCCAGCCCAGACAGGAAGAAGTCCATGAGACTTTTATAACCAATTAGCAAAACTCCAATAGAGCTGTGGCTCAAGTGGTAAAGTACTAGCCTTGAGCAAAAAAAGCTCAGGAAGCCTTAGGACCAGCATCAAAAAAACCACAAGCCATAAGCCAGGCACTGGTGGCTTACAGCTGTAATCCTAGCTACTCAGGAGGCTGAAATCTGAGGATCACGGTTCAAAGCCAGCCTGGGCAGGAAAGTTCTTGAGACTCTTATCTCCAATTAACAACCAGAAAACCAGAAGTGGCACTGTAGCTCAAGTGGTAGAGTGCTTGCCTTGAGCTGAAGAGCTGAGGGACAGTGCCCAGGCCCAGAGTTCAAGCCCCATGACAAACAAACAAACAAAAACCCACAAAACTATAAAGCAGATTGCTGGTAGCTCACACCTGTAATCCTAGTTACTCAGAAGGCTGAGTTCTGAGGGTTGTGATTCAAAGCCAGCCCAAGCAGGAAGTCTATGACACTCTTTTATCTCCAGTTAAGTACCAGAAAAATCATAAGTAGAGCTGTGGCTCAAAGTGGTAGAGTGCTTGTCTTGAGCAAAATAACTCAGGGACAATGCCCAGGCCCTAAGTTTAAGCTCTACAACCAACCAAAAAAAAAAAAAAATTATAGAAAGACTTATAGTTGAGTCATTGAATGGGAAGAATTATCTGTACATGTAAAACTTGGAAAGTCATGTATCAGTGCTGTGTAGCAGCTTCTTTGATATAGCAAGATTTCTTTCTTGCTTTTCTGGGAAAATGACTAAAATTTGTAAAACTCCTAAAAGCTAGACTCTTGTAGAAAGCAATGAAATTATACTTTATGGAGAATTTTTCAACATCACCCATGATTAAATATGTAGTTTCAGCTTAGATTTGAAGAACAAAGACAAAATTAATATGTCCTATTCATATCCTAATGGATGTGGACATGTATACTTTTAAAAATCTTTACCCATCGGTAGAGGTTTTGTGCTGCATATTAAAAGGTCTGATCCCCTTATCCATTATTTTCTTTAAACTATTCTTTTTCTACCATTTTTCTTCATAAGAAGTTAGTAATTAGCTTTTAGTGTGAAAAGTTACAACTTCACAACCTCTTCATTTCACAGAACATGCAAGGGGGTACTAAACTCCACGGTCAGCTGGGCCATGGAGACAAAGCTTCCTATCGACAACCAAAGCACGTGGAAAAATTGCAAGGCAAAGCTATCCGTCAGGTCTCATGTGGTGATGATTTCACTGTCTGTGTGACAGGTAAGCCATTAGCAGAAAGCATTTGAGAGCCATTTAGTGTAGGTTATGGTGCTGAATGTTCTTCTCTTTTATTTATTTTGATTATTTATTTTGGTTGGTTGTGGGGCTTGAACTCAGGGCTTGAGCACTGTCCCAAGCTTTTGTGCTCAAGGCTAGAGCTCTACTACTTTGAGCCACAGCACTACTTCCAATTTTCTGGTGGTTAATTGGAGATAAGAGTTTCACAGACTTTCCTACCTGGGCTGGCTTCAAACCAAGATCCTCAGATCCTCAGCCTTCTGAGTAACTAGAATTACAGGCACGAGCCACCACTGCCTGGCAGTTTTAGATGGGATTTTATAACAACACAACAAAAATCTAAAAAAACCAAAAGACATTATAAACAACTCATTCATGACAATTCAAGTTTATTTTGCCATGAATTAGGAAGTGATGAACAAGGGGAAGTCACATCAATAACAGGTTGTGGATTAGGGAGACATTTGTTGTATTTGGGAAAAGGAAAAAGACATTTGGAAAATAGGAACATAATCTCCCTACCTGTTCAGACTATGTATAGCACAAAATTAGGACCAAGAACTAAATCTAGTTTTGGTCTTAGCATTTTATGAAACCTTAGTACTTTTCTTTTTACCTACAAAATATAGAAGACTAGTAAAAATGTTAAGTCCTTTTTAACTTGGTAATACTACCTTTTTTAGAACTTCATAAAACCTAGTGCTGATGGTTCACACCTGTAGTCTTAGCTACTCAGGAGGCTGAGATCCAGAGGATTGCAATTCAAAGCCAACCTGGACAGAAAAGTCCATATCCAAAATTACCAACAAAAAGCCAGGCTGGCTGCATGGCTTACATGATAGAGACTAACTGAGTAAACAGGAGGCCTAAGTTCATATTCTAGTGCTGGGGAACTAAAAACAACAACAAAATAACTTATTCATTACAGTAATACTACGTGTGACTCCTTAACTGGAAATAGCTCCAGACTTACATGGTTTATTATTCATACTTCGGATGTAATCATCTCACATGGGATCATTGGCTGGGGTAGTCTTCATTCTATCCCTATTCAGTTTTCTGGTTGGACAAAATAAGTCATTCCTGTGATGAACTGTTTTACTTCCTTGTGCAGATGAAGGTCAGCTCTATGCCTTTGGATCTGATTATTACGGCTGTATGGGGATGGACAAAGTTGCTGGCCCTGAAGTTCTGGAACCTATGCAGCTGAACTTCTTCCTCGACAATCCGGTGGAACAAGTCTCCTGTGGGGATAATCATGTGGTGGTTCTGACACGGAACAAAGAAGTCTATTCTTGGGGCTGTGGTGAATATGGTAGGTATAGCTCAGGTGTACAGCTTGATTTCAGGCTGTGTGAATCTAAGCACATCATTTAGCCTCTGAGAAATGTTAATTCAGTAACAGACTCTTATAGAACATCCTCATTGGGATAAAGGTCCTCATCATAACGGCTTTATTTCTTATGCATGTTTCAGGACGCCTAGGTTTGGATTCAGAAGAGGATTATTGTACACCACAAAAGGTAAAGTCAAAAACAGCTTCTTCCAAAGCCTGTGTAAAACACATAACCCCTAAAAATATATGCTTTCACCCTATCATTTATTCCTCATATTAAAGTGTTAATTTCTGAAGAAATTCCTATCTGGGAGCCTGACAATCTAAGACTCCTAATTCAGTTATATGTGGTCTTGTCATCTGAAAAAGTCAGGAAGTTGAGAGAATAGGTATAGGTATTATGAACACTGTGGTATCATATCACAAGTACTAGAAAAAAGTACAGCAAAAAATTCAAGTATAGCTAAGCATATGACTAAACATTTTCCCTTCTTTTGTGTACAGTTGAACACCAGATGAATAGATGTTTTTTTGCTTTGAGATCATGTGGTCTGAAACATGTGACTACTCCCAAGACTATCAGAACTGGCTCTCTGAAGGAAAAGCACATCTCTCTCACTCCCTGGGGACAAGTTTATACTGGCTGACATCCACTACACTACTTATTGTGACCAGTTTTTATTTACATCCTAAACATTAACTGATGGTGTGGAGACCATCCTCATCGGAATTTATATATAGCTGTTCCTTTTCTCCTAAAGAGGTGGTAGTAGAAACTTGGGACTCACATTTCACAAATAGCCATCATGGCCACATCTGTCACTCTCTTTCTTCAACCCTGTGTAGTTAGCTGTAGAAGTATATATTTGGAAGACGACGACTTTTTTTTTTTTTTTTTGCTAGACCTTAGGCTTGAACTCAGGACCTGGGCACTGTCCCTGAGCTTCTTTTGCTCAAAGCTAGCATTCTACCACTTGAGCCACAATGCCACTTCCAGCATTTTCTGCTTATGTGGTACTGAGGAATCAAACCCAGGGCTTCATGCATGCAAGGCAAGCACTCTACCATTAAGCTAAGCCACATTCTCTTACTCTTGTCACTTCGTGTGTGTGTGTGTGTGTGTGTGTGTGTGTGTGTGTGTGTGTGTGTGTGTGTGTGTGTGTGTGTGAGACTAGCACTCTACCACTTGAACCACAGCTCTGTTTTTTATTGGTTAATTAGAGGTAAGAATCTCACAGTCTTTCTTGCCTAGGCTGGCTTTGAACTGTAATCCTTAGATCTCAGCCTCCTGGATACCTAAGATTATAGGCATAAGCCACTGGCACCCAGTTCTATCACTTTTTTCTTTCTTTTTTTAATTAACAGATCAGTAGGCTAGAGGCATACTGTGCCAGCCTAACAAACATGAGGTCCTAAGTTCAAAATTTCTAGTACTAACCAAAAATAAGACCAGATCAGGATCCAAAGAGCTGTTGAATTTCTTTTGTAAATGTCAAGGTACCCTCTGTCTCATTAGACAAAGCCAGTGAGGGATTAAGACCAATCCTTTCCCAGCACTTGTATTGCTCTTTCTCTCAAGTTTTCTTTTCCGGAGAAGTAAGATCTGTTGCTAAAACAGATCTATAGAATCTGTCTACTTAGTTGTCCTAGAACTGCCACTTTTTCCTTTATATATTAAAATTTGCATTCTACCTTGCAAAGGGTAGCCTTCAAACTACTGGGCAAATCTGAAGAGAACAGTTCAACTATATTTCCTTATAATCATTCTTCTGAATGTAGCAAGTCCTTTTGTGAAAGACTAAGGGGTTTTCCTAATATGCATGCAGTACTTAAGATTTTTTTTTCTGGCCGGGCGCTGGTGGCTCACGCCTGTAATCCTAGCTACTCAGGAGGCTGAGATGTGAGGATCGCGGTTCAAAGCCAGCCCGGGCAGGAGAGACCGTGAGACTCCTATCTCCAATAAACCACCAGAAAACCGGAAGTGACGCTGTAGCTCAAGTGGTAGAGCACTCGCCTTGAGCTGAAGAGCTGAGGGACAGCGCCCAGGCCCAGAGTTCAAGCCCCACGACCGACAAAAAAAAAAAAAAAAAAAGATTTTTTTTTTCTGATTTACTATTTCTTTGCAGGTGGATGTTCCCAAGGCCTTAATTATTGTTGCTGTTCAGTGTGGCTGTGATGGGACCTTTCTGCTGACTCAGTCAGGCAAAGTGCTGGCCTGTGGGCTCAATGAGTTCAACAAACTGGGTCTGAACCAGTGCATGTCTGGAATCATCAATCACGAAGTGAGTATTCTCTTGATGTCCTGACCACGTTGTCAGAACTATTGTAGACTGGAATACCTTTGGAATGCTGTTATTGGTTAGTGACCATAGAAGTTGATTTAAGAATTAAGAATACATATTGTATTCAGCAAAAGAAGACAGCCACAAAAGGTACATACTGTATGATTATAGATGTGAAATTTAGCAACATTCAAAATTAAGTTACTGTGGCATTAGTCAAGAGAAGTTTCTTGGAGGAGTATGGGCCTTAACAAAAAAGTGAAAAGATTACCCATTATCTCTGGTACTGGAAATGGTCTGTGTCTTAATCAGAGTGATTTTACAGAACAGAAAAATAATCAGACTGACAATATTTTGCAGTATGTTATAGCTCAATAAAATTGATAACTGCAAACAAAATTGTAGGTTCTATCTTTATTACTGGAATAGGAACAGGAAAATTACTGTGAAAAAGGAACATTCTAATATATCACCTCCCTGGAGAGATTTTAGATTTATTGTTTCTTGTTGTTGTTTTTTTGGGTCCGGTCATGGGGCCTGAACTCTGGGCCTGGGCGCTGTCCCTCAGCTTTTCAGCTCAAGGCTAGCGCTCTACCACTTGAGCCACAACGCCACTTCCGTCTTTTTTTTTCTGCTTATGTGGTGCTGAAGAATCGAACCCAGGGCCTCAAGCATGCAAGGCAAGCACTCTACCACTGATCTACCTTCCCAGCCCATAGATTTATTGTTTCTAAAACACTGCTTACTGAATGTAATTACCATTTTCCTCCTTTAAGGATGTCACCAAATTAACCAATGATAGTCTTGGTTTTTCTCTTTGTGTAATATCTTGACTTTCTGTCTTTTTTTGTTGTTGTTAGTCATGGGGCTTGAACTCTGGACCTGGGCTCTGTCCCTGAGCTCTTCTGCTGAAAGCAAGCGCTCTACCACTTGAGCCACAGTGCCACTTCTGGTTTTCTGGTGTTTTATTGGAGATTAGATTCTTACAGAGTTTCCTGCCCCCTAGCTGGCTTTGAACCGCAGTCCTCAGATCTCAGCCTCCTGAGTAGCTAGGACCACAGACATGAGCCACCAGCACCCAGCTACTTTGTGTCATCTCTAAAGAGTCAAGTTAAGAGACATAAATTTCCTCACTCAATGAAAAAGGTTAGAGTAGAGTTTTAAGTCTTTGAAGTAGTGAGTCTTAGGCGATTACAAATTCAGGGCAAGGCTGAAGAATATGTAATTTGAAAGGTTTGTTCAGAATTACTACTTGATTTTTGTGTTTTGTTAAAAAACTAGATTTGTTGTGAATTTTTAATTTATGTGAGGGTATTTTTCTTTTAATATGAACTCAAAAGGCCTTATGGGTTTTAAAAAGTGATGAAACACTACTCTGTGGGTGAAATTAAATCTTCAGTAACTGATTACTTAGAGGCTGGAGAGATTCTTCTGATTTTAATTCTTTTTCCTGCTATTGTTAGGTGTGCAGAATATATAACCAAAACAATGTCAGGGAGTCTGTCCTTAAAATAATATCTTTTCTAGGTGCCAGTGGCTCACGCATGTAATCCTGGCTACTCAGAAGGCTGAGATCCAAGGATCACAGTTCAAAGCCAGCCCAGGCAGGAAAGTCCGTGAGACTCTTATCTCCAATTAAACACCAGAAAATAGAAGTAGTGCTGTGGCTTAAAGTGGTAGAGCACTAGTCTTGAGCTGAAGAACTCAGGGACAGCACTCAAGCCCAGAGTTCAAGCTTCATGACCGACCAAAAAGAAAAAAGGAAAAAAAAAAAACTTCTACAGTGTTCATGTATTACACACTTTTAACTCAGAATATAAAAATGTGTTGTCAGAAAGTCCTGCTTCATATGCTAAATTCTTGTTGACATGTTGAGCTTTTTTCTTCTTGTATCCTTTTAAAGATGGCAAACTTCCTGGCACTCAGTAACATGGTTTGTTGAAAGACTTTTTGGTCACCATGACCTTTTCCATTCTCAGTTTAATTATCCCTTCATTTTTTACTTCATGAGTCTTTGTGTTTTACTTGTTTCAGGCATACCATGAAGTTCCTTACACAACTTCCTTTACCCTGGCCAAACAGTTATCCTTTTATAAGATCCGTACCATTGCCCCAGGCAAGACTCATACAGCTGCTATTGATGGTGAGTTGACTGTCAACCATATCTCATGCATTAGGACCTCAGGCTCCTTTATACTATGAACAATGCATGTTCTGACAGCTTCCTGTAATCCATTTTGTGTGTGTGTGTATGTGTGAGAGAGAGACAGACAGACAGACAGAGACAGAGAGAGATTGAATGCTGGTCTTTAGGTCTTAAATTCAGGGCTTGGGCACTGTCCCTGAGTTTCTCTGCTCAAGGCTGGCAAACTACCATTTGAGCCAGAGCTCCACTTTGAGCTTTTTCAGCTAGTTAATTGGAGATAGAATCTCACAGACTTTTCTACCTGGGCTGGCTTCAAACCACGATCTTCAGATCTCAGCCTCCTGAGTAGTCTGGCTCATTTTTAGTGATAGTCCCTATAAATAAAAGATAAATAAATGCATCTCGTAATAAGAATCTCTCTCTCTCTCTCTCTCTTTTTTTTTTTTTGCCAATCCTGAGGCTTGAACTCAGAGCCTGGGCAGTGTTCATGAGCTCCTTTTTTTCTTTGCTCAAGTCTAGCACTCTACCAAGCCACAGCACTGAGGAATCAAACCCAGGCAAGCACTCTACCACTAAGCCACATTCTCAGCCCCAGAATCTCATTCTTACAATTCTTGACTTCTGTTGTCTTTAAATGGCCTGTATGGTAAGTATTCCAAGTTAGACAGTATCTATTATCCATGTTAAAAACTCAATTTGGGGGAGAAAACATAATTTTCTGTCAGTAGGTCCAGATGGTCACAGTGTCTAGATAGCCTGGCGACCATAGGTCCAGGATCACATGGCTAGCATCCTAATCATATCTTCTAACAACTAGAAGTTAGTGAATGGAAGTCTATATAGGTTACATTTTTCGTCTGTTCCATGAACCACTAGAGCTTAATTATTTTTGCCTCTCTCAGAGCGAGGCCGCCTTTTGACCTTTGGCTGCAATAAGTGTGGACAGCTGGGTGTTGGGAATTACAAGAAGCGTCTGGGAATCAACTTATTGGGTGGACCCCTTGGTGGGAAGCAAGTGATTCGGGTTTCCTGTGGTGATGAGTTCACCATCGCTGCCACAGATGGTGAGTCTGTATATGTCATTTCATGCTTTTTGGACAGATGACTTATGTTTTAATTCTTTTTTTTTAAATTGTTCACTCTTTATTTTTGATTATCTATAAGTAGTTGTACAGAGAAGTTGCTATTCAACAAAGCAGTTTATGAATACAATACATCTTTGTCATTCTCCTCCATCCCTTCTGTGTTTTAATTCCTGCTTGGGATGGGAGAGACTAGTTTTTGTATAGCTGAATCATGGTTTTCCTTTTTTATTTGTATGAAATTGGCAGTTACCACCTGGAATGGAACATTTATTTATTTATATGTCAGTCTCCCCATTTAAAATGCCAGTTCCAAAGGAGCAAGGACTTTATTTTGTTCAGTGCTCAATTTTTTCAAGCCATGCCTTCCATGATATAGATTCCCAATACGTGTTTGAGTGAGTGACCAGTACAAAGGTGATAAGTAAATGAATGACAGTACAGAGTAGCAATAGTCACTTCTGCCTGGAAGTAATCAGGAAAACTTTATGCTTTATATAGGGAAATAATCAGCTTTCTTTGAATTTGTAAACAGTAGGACATCTCTTTAGTTCTAGGGCATAAAGAGGAGAAATCAAAGAGTTGGGAAGCCAGTGTTCTGTTAAAAATGACCTGTTGTCTAATACAGATAATCATATTTTTGCCTGGGGCAATGGTGGTAATGGACGTCTGGCAATGACTCCCACTGAAAGACCACATGGCTCTGATATCTGTACCTCATGGCCTAGGCCTATTTTTGGATCTCTGCATCATGTTCCAGACCTATCTTGCCGTGGCTGGCACACCATTCTCATTGTTGGTAAGTGTTTCATACGTGTGGGCTTGGGGTGGCTTTGTCAGAATTGATCCATAACTAAATACTACTGGGCACATTCTTGGAAACATAAGTGTCATGAAGCAAGAGCTAGTTCTGTTAAATCCTGTAACGGTCAGGGATGCCAAACTGAACGCTAGGAACAAAACTGTAAGTTTTTAGTTTTGTCATTGTTTTTTTTGTTGTTGTTTTTGTTGTGTTTTGTTTCTGGTGCTGGTCTTGGGGCTTGAACTCAAGGCCTAACAGCATTTTTACCCAAGTATAGAACTCTGCTCCCTGAGCCACAGTTCCACTTCTGACTTTTCTTGGTAGTTCATGGAGATAAGACTGTTTCAGGCTTTCCTGTGTGGGCTAGTTTCAAACTACAATCCTCAGATTTCAGCCTCTGAGTTGATAGGACTACAGGTGTGAGCCTGTAAGATTTTCTTTTAAAAGAAAATCTTAGGTCATAAAGATAACTTTGTTTGGGGCTGGGAAGGTGGCTCAGTGGTAGAGTGCTTGCCTTGCATGCATGAGGGCCTGGGTTCAATTTCTCTGCACCACATAAGCAGAAAAAGCTGGAAGTGGTGCTGTGGATGTGGCCTTGAGCTGAAGAGCTAAGAGACAGTGCCCAGGCCCACAATTCAGGCCCCGTGACTGACCAAAAACAAAAAAAAAAAGATAACTTTATTTGGACTTAATTTTAAAAGCCTTGGCTGAACATCAGAATCTTTTGGAGAGTTGTTACAAATTCTAGTCCTCACCAATTAAATTTTAATTTCTAGAGTGTTACTTTCCAGTTTCCCAGGTGATTCCAGTGGGTAGCAGGAGTGGAACATACAGTTCTCTAAATGTACTTAGAGTAGCTAGTGGTATTTAGATAATGACATTAATTGCTAAACAGTAATCATTAATATATATTTTTATTGTAAAGATATTGGACAAAGGGGTTATAGTTACATGAATAAGGTAATGAGTACATTCCTATCGAGCATTGTTACCCCCTCCTTTGTTTTTCCCCTATCATCCCTTCCCTCCCCACCTCCCCAGTAATCATATATTTACCTATAGCAAGGAATAGCAGTTATCTTCTACATTACCTCCCTATAGTTCCCTCTTACTGTTCTTGTCCATCTCTGCACAAAATGCTTACCTACTGATTTTTTTTTTCTTCAGAGAAAGTACTGAATTCTAAGACCATCCGTTCTAATAGCAGTGGCCTCTCCATTGGAACTGGTAAGTAGTAATGTCTCAAGTAGCAGTGTTTTTTCTCATATGTGGGTCTTTGGGTTAGATTACATACATTCTCCAAAACTGAAAGGAAAATAGTAAGTGAGGGCAAATGAGGAGAAGTGAAGAATACAGTGACTAGGAGGGAGCATCCCATTTTGGTGAATTTCACAGTAACTCATGAATGGCATTGTGGTCAGAAAGAGAATACATCTTTGCCTTCATGCATATGGAAGTAATTAAGTGTTTGCCTCACATTGTAATGTTTCTTATATAATATTTCTTTCTATCCTAGGGGCCAAAGATTTTCTCTGCCCGTTATTTAATGGTATTCCTCAGAGTATTCAATTCTATAGAAAGGACTATAGAAATAGTCCTTCAGCACAAGCCTTTAGCTGGTGACTCACGCCTATAATCTTAGCTACTCAGGAGACTGAGATCTGAGGATCATGGCGCAAAACCAGTTCAGGCAGAAAAGTCCATGAGACTTATCTTCAATAATCACCAAGAAACTGGAAGTGGAAGTGTGGCTCAAGTGGTAGAGTGCCAGCACTGAACAAAAAACGCTAAAAGACAGCACTTAGGCCCTGAGTTCAAGCCCCAGTACTGGCACAAAAAATAATAATAATAAAAAACAAGCCCTTAGAAATAAAATTCATGGGGCTGGGAAGTTGGCTCAGTGGTAGAGTGCTTGCCTTGCATGCATGAGGCCCTGGGTTTGATTCCTCAGCACCACATAAGCAGAAAAAAGATGGAAGTAGCACTGTGGCTCAAGTGGTAGGGCACTAGCCTTGAGCTGCAGAGCTGAGGGACAGCGCCCAGGCCCAGAGTTCAGCCCCCACGACTGACAAAAAAAAAAGAAAAAAAAGAAATGAAAGTCATGAACAAGGGAAAGGGTGACATTATCCTAAATGAAATGTACTCTTTACCTGACTTATATAACTATAACCCCCTTTTTAATAAAAAAAAAATTAGAATAAATAAGGGTCAAATAGACTTTCAGCATGGTTAGAAGAGTCAGCACATACCTCTCTAATAATCTTCCTTTGGCTGCTTCTTTCGTGGTTATCTTGTTTGGGCCTATCAAGAAACTGAATCTATATTCCTTTTTGGTTGTCTACCTGCCAGAGTCCATGCATATCAGAACCAGTTCTGATATACAGAATCAAATAAATGAGAACCCAAAATAAATGCAGATTAATCTCTTAAAAAGAAGGGCTGGGAGGGTGGCTCAGTGGTAGAGTGTTTGCCTCACATGCATGAGGCCCTGGGTTCAATTCCTCAGCACCACATAATCAGAAAAAAAAAAAAAAGCTGGAAGTGGCACTGTGGCTCAAGTGGTAGAGCGCTAGCCTTGAGCTGAAGAGCAGAGGGACACCATCCAAGCCCAGAGTTCAGGCCTCACAACTGACAAAAAAAAAAAAAAAAATCAAAAATCTTACATAGTCTTTTTGAGCTTTAATTTGTAAATATAGATACACAGCACAGCATTTATTGGTTTTCTGAAATTGCTCAGCATCTCAATTTGTGCATGTTAATTTAATGTTATGTAATGTTAAGGTAATAAAATATCTTTTTCGCCAAACATGGTTATTCTTTTGCAACTTTGCTTTGCTGGAACAATATTTCATGGAAAAAGATAAGATAAAGCAAATGATTGGCCAGGAAATGTAATCTCAGCAGTGTATAATTAATGTGATAAATGCTCTAGAAGTAGTTGTTGAATGAAAGTGTTATACCCATCTGTTGGTCTGGGTTTTATATAGGAATGGAAATGAACACCATCCCTAAGTATTTTCATAATATAAAATGTAGAAAGTAAGTTGCCGTGTAAAAAAGCCACTTCCAGCTTTTTTCTTTTTGCTTATGTGGTGCTGAGAAATCAAACCTAGGGCCTCAGGCATGCAAGGCAAGTGCTCTACCACTGAGCCACCTTCCCAGCCCCCCACATATAGTTTTAAACAAGCCAAATAATAAATTCTTTAAGAGTATGCAGACAAGTCACTGGTGGCTCATGCCTGTAATCCTAGCTACTCAGGAGGCTGAGATCTTAAGATCTTGGTTCAAAGCCAGCCAGGCAAGAAAGCCCATGAGACTTTTATCTCCAGTTCACCACCAGAAAAGTGGAAGTGGTGCTGTGGCTCAAGTGGTAGAGCCCTACCTGAAGAGCTCAGGGACAGCGCCCAAGCCCAGAGTTCAGACTTCACAACTGACCAAAAAAAAAAAAAGAGTACATAATAACATGAAATGAAGAAGAAATGGTAAATACAAAATCGGTAATGCTGGGTAATCCTAGCTTCTCAGGAGGCTGAGATCTGAGGATCACAGAAGATAGCCCCTGCAGGAGAGTCTGTGAGACTGTCTTCAATTAACTATCAAAAGCTAGAAATGGAGCTGTGACTCAAGTGGTAGAGTGCTATCCTTGAGCACAAAGCTCTGGGACTTCACCCAGGCCCCAGGTTCAAGCCCCAGCCGGGCACCCCGTTCACAACCCAAAGAAATCAGTAGTTTTATCTTGGCAGGAGACTAGAGGAGGAAGGACTATTCGAGGCAAATGCAATGATAGAGACAGCAGTATCCAATAGAACCTTCGATGACTGAATATTCTATATCTGTGCTATCCAGAATAATAGCACTTAAAAAAGCAGCTAGTATAACTGAGAAACTGAATTTTTAATTTTATTTAAATTTAAATCATTATGTCAAGTGACTACCATCTGGGATAGTGCCATTCTAGTTCTTTTACTGACAGTATTTCACTTGTCTATTATTGAGCATCAAAGAAAATTGGACATTTGTTTTGAACATAATATTTAAGTAGTTGTACAAAGAATTTCAACTCAACATGTCAGTTTATGAATCAGTCGTATCTTGATCAGTGTCACCTGGTCATCAGTTCTTCACTACTCCTAACCACACCCATCCCCTCTAGTTACCTGAGGCCATTTGAACTCTTCACTCTTGTTTAGAATTTTTTGCTCAAAGTCTACTACTTGAACCATACCTCTACTTCTGACTTTTTGCTGGTTAATTGAGAATCAGAGTCCCTCGGTCCAGGCACCAGTGGCATGCCTAACTAGTCATAAAGCTGGAGTCTGAGGATCAAAGTTCAGTGCTAGCTCAGGCAAGAAAGTCTGTGAGATTTTTATCTCCAAATCAACCAGCAAAAAGCCTGAAGTGGTGCAAGCACCATCCTTGAATGAAAAAGCGAAGGGACAGTACCTAGACAAAGTTCAAGCCTCCATACCGGCATGCGTGCACGCACACACGTGCGCGCACACACACATTCATCTTAAGTCTCAGATTTTTCTGCCTAGGCTGGCTTTTAACTGCAGTTCCCAGATCTCAGCTTCCTGAATAGCTAGGATTACAGGCATGACTGTTGTTAAAAATCATTTAAAGCCAGGTGCTAGTAGTTGTAATTCTGTCTACTCAGAGGCTGAGATCTGAAGGTTTAAGTTTAAAGCCATCCCAGTAGAAAAGTCTACAAGATTCCATCTCTAAAATTAGCCATCAAAAACTGGATTGGAGGTATAGCCCAAGTGATAGAATGCTAGCCAAGCATGCAAGCCGAATAAACTAGTGGCCCTAAGTTCAAGCCCCAGAACAGTCAGTAAAAGGAAAAGGAAAGAAAAAGCTATTTAAAGCAAAATAGCAAGGTTCAAGAGCTTGTTGTACTCTCCTCTGTAGTTGGGCTGCTTCAGTAGAATCACAGGCTGACACAGTCCTAAGGCCAGTGTATGTTGGGATAGAGTCCTTTGTATTGAACCTTGGAGCATACCATGAACTTTTGTTTTTGTTGGCTGTTTTGTTTGTTTTATCTTTGGCAAATTTAATATTTGACTCATATTAAAATTCAGTTTCATTTCCTAACCACATAGCCTTATTATGGTAGCTTAACATATACTCCTTATTAGAACCAACCATCATATTTTTAAAATTGATACAAATTGTCATCAAAGAATTCAATGCTCATATTTGTTGAAGAATTCACTAGTATTTATCTCAAACAAAATTACCAATAGTGTGTTCTTCTGGCAACTTTAAGACCTGTTTGGCTCAAATATTAAAGAACTTTTTACATAAGGCAAGTGCTAATGGAGGATGCTAGACTATGAATGTATCTGCTAAAGACAGTTAACATGGGCACTAGATTTGTCAAACTGGTTGAGGGTCTCATTCAGTAATTCACTAGAATGTTGATAATCTGTTATGAATACAGAAATGCCTAACTGCACTACTGCCAATCCACTTCATGTAACTCTAGGAACCTTTCTAGGGGTATGAGGGTCTCAGATGGTAAATCTTTCTTGTTGCATAGCAAAGCTCTCTATTTCTGTGCCATGTATCCACCAGTGGTCCACAGCTCTAGCCCAGGAGGTGGTGGTGGTGGCGGCGGTGGCGGTGGTGGAGGAGGAGGAGGAGGAGGAGGAGGAGGAGGAGGAGAAGAGGACAGTCGGCAGGAGTCAGAAACTCCTGATCCAAGTGGAGGCTTCCGAGGAACAATGGAAGCGGATCGAGGAATAGAAGGTTTAATCAGTCCCACAGAGGCCATGGGAAACAGTTGTGGGGCCAGCAGCTCCTGTCCTGGCTGGCTTCGAAAGGTAAGTCCTTTGCAGTCCCTAGAAAAATGCTGACAGACTCTGTTTCCTATGTCCTTTAAATTGTTCTGTAGTAGGAATCTAGCCTTCAGCCGGGCGCTGGTGGCTCACGCCTGTAATCCTAGCTACTCAGGAGGCTGAGATCTGAGGATCGCGGTTCAAAGCCAGCCCAGGCAGGAGAGACCGTGAGACTCCTATCTCCAATAAACCACCAGAAAACCGGAAGTGATGCTGTAGCTCAAGTGGTAGAGCGCTCGCCTTGAGCTGAAGAGCTGAGGGACAGCGCCCAGGCCCAGAGTTCAAGCCCCACGACCGACCAAAAAAAAAAAAAAAGAATCTAGCCTTCGACTTCTACCTGGAAAGAAATCACTAAAACCCATGGTTTTTTTTTTTTTTTTTTCTTTCGAGAAAGAGATTTTTTTTAAATGCTGTCATACTCATATTACTTAAGTGAATATAAATTAATATAGCCTACGTTGAAGGCAGTTTGTATGGGCCTGTGAACAGAGATAAAACTTAGAATTTGTCCTATTCATAGAAGTAGAATGTCAGGGCTGATAGAATCCCCTACAACAGAAATACAGTTGATGAAAATAGGTTTAATAGTAAAAACTAAATATGAAATCTATTATTTATATGGAAAGTCAGTTACAGTATAGCTTGTGGAAGAGGATGGAATATCTGTTGCTAAGACCTTATTTCAGAAAATAGGTGATCACCCTGCTTTCACTGTATTTGATGTTGGTATAATTTGTGGAGGGGAAGGGAAAAAAACAAATCATTTAAATAAGGATACAGGTGGACCCATTGCAACAATGAGATGTACAAGTCATTATGTCGAAAAACGAACTTTACAACTTTGGCGGGGGAGGGGGGGTGGGGGGGAATAGGAGAGATATGGGGGGAGGATATGGGAAGGGATAGGAAGGGGAAACAAAGGAGGAAGCAACAATGCTTGACAAGAAATATACTCATCTTGCCCATGTAATTGTAACTCCTCTGTACGGTATTTTCATAATAATAAAGTTAAAAGAAAGAAAATAGGTGATCATTTTTAAGAGACTTGCTGGCAGTTTTTCTTGACTTTCTTTGCCCGTCTTTGTAAATGAATATTTATAGTTTGGGAGACTTTAGTTTAATAATAAGAACCTGCCGGGCGCTGGTGGCTCACGCCTGTAATCCTAGCTACTCAGGAGGCTGAGATCTGAGGATCATGGTTCAAAGCCAGTCTGAGCAGGAAAGACCGTGAGACTCCTATCTCCGATAAACCACCAGAAAACCGGAAGTGGCGCTGTAGCTCAAATGGTAGATTGCTTGCCTTGAGCTGAAGAGCTGAGGGACAGCGCCCAAGCCCAGAGTTCAAGCCCCACAACCAACTAAAAATAAAAAATAAAAATAAAAAGAACCTACAGATTTAAAGCTTCTTATCCAGACTGAACTTGGTAGTTATGAGGCCTATGAGCAGAGAAAGCAGCACATCTTCAGCCCAGCCTCTGGCAGCTTGGCCATCAACCTCCCTGCATTGTCTTCAAACCTCCTAACTAGCTGAGTAGCCTGTGTAGAATAAGAGTGTTGAGGAAACACTGCAAACACTCCAGACTCTGCTCAGATTTGCATCTCAAATTATATCACTTCTATGATGGATTCCCAGGGTGGGAATCCTACTGTCCTGCACCACTAGAGGGTGCTGATGTCTTAACAGTAAAAACTAGAGCAAAAGCAAGAAAGGAATTTGGGAGAAAGTAGATTCTTGCAACTGATAAAATTTCTTTTTCTGTACCTAGGAGCTGGAAAATGCAGAATTCATTCCCATGCCTGACAGCCCAATTCCCCTAAGTACAGGATTTTCAGAATCTGAGAAAGATACGCTACCCTATGAAGAGCTGCAAGGACTCAAAGTGGCCTCGGAAGTTCCTCCGGAACACAAACCCCAAGTGGGAGTCTGGGTAACTGAGCTTTGTATATTTGAATCACAATTCTGACCTCATCATGTCCTCTAGCCTCCTTGTTCTTCTGTGGCTGTCCTGCATCAACTCTTTACCGTGTCAATTTCTGATAGGCTAGTACTTTTCTGCTCAAGGCTAGTACTTAACTACTTTGAGCGACAGTGCCACTTCTGGTTTTCTGATGGTTAATTGGAGATGCGACTGTCATGGACTTTGTTATCCTGTCTGGCCTGGAACTGTGATTCTTATATCTCAGCCTCCTTAGTAGCTATGATTATAGGTGTGAGCCACCAGCACCTTTCCACCCCAGAGAATTATTATTATGTTTTCTCTGTGCCTCAGAAATACAAAACTGAAATCCAAAACCCCCGTTCATTTTTTTAACCCACTATGGTGGGTTGAAGACGTATAAATATAAATAACTAATGTACATCTAACCTTGTAAATGTTTTCATTTTACACCTCAGTGAAACAAAACTAAAGAGGTCACATACTATTTTTTTTTTTTTTTGTCGGTCATGGAGCTTGAACTCTGGGCTTGGGCGCTGCCCTTGTGCTCTTCAGCTCAAGGCAAGCGTTCTACCACTTGAGCCACAGCACCACTTCCGGTTTTCTAGCAGTTTATTGGAGATAAGAGTCTCACGAACTTTCCTGCCCGGGCTGGCTTTGAACCGCGATCCTCAGATCTCAGCTTCCTGAGTAGCTAGGATTACAGGCGTGAGCCACCGGCGCCTGGCTACATACTAATTATTTTATGTAACCCATATAATCTCTTGTAACTATTGGACACTGGCACTGCAGCACAAAAGCAGGCACAGATATAAGTTGAATACCTTTTATCCAAAATGCTCAGGACCCAGAGTATTTGTTAGATTTTTGTTACATTTCAGGTATTAGATTTTTTTTTATTATCTGCATATATATAGTGAGATATCTTGGAACTGGGACTCAAGTTTAAACACAAAATTCATTTGTGTTTATAGACACCTTATGTAAATAGCCTGAAGGTCATTATGTACAATATTTTACTATGCTTGCTTTTTTACCACAACCTTTCTCATGAGCTTAGCAGTGACATTTTCTATTTGAGGCATCATGTTAGTGCCCAAACAGTTTTGAACTTTGGAACATTTGGGATCTTCAGATTAGAGATGCTCAAACCTTTAATACTTTATGAGTAAGCATGTCTGTGTTTCATTAAGACTATTTACAAAATCAGTAGTAGGCCAAAATTGGTCCATGGACTGTTGTCTGTTGATTCTGACTTATGCACAAAGTATAGAAAAATCTAGATAATTAGCCGGCTGCCAGTGGCTTATGCCTGTAATCCTAGGTACTCAGGAGGCTGAGAGATCTGAAGATCACAGTTCAAAGCCAGCCCAGGCAGGAAAGTCCATAAGACTCATCTCCAATAAACCATTAGAAGTGGCGCTGTGGCTCAAGCAGTAGAGTGCTCGCCTTGAGCTTAAGACCCTAGGAACAGCGCCTAAGCCCAGAGTTCAAGCCCCACAACCGACCAAAAAAAAGAAAAGAAAAATCTGGATAATTAGAAACCTTCCCAGGAGGTAATAAAATCTTTGAAACTTCAGTATGAGCATTTTAATTTCTATTGATTAGCTTTGAGTCCTGTTTACTGTTAGAGTCCTATTTACTGAATACTTCTTCACATCTTTTTTATATTGTTATTCATTATTTTTTATTATTTTTTTTTTTGGTCAGTCATGGGGCTTGGACTCTGGGCCTGGGTGCTGTCCTTGAGCTTTTTTTGCTCAAGCCTTGAGCCAGCGCCACTTCTGGCCTTTTTTGTTTATGTGGTACTAAGGAATCGAATTCAGCGCTTCATGCATGCTAGGCAAACATGCTACCTAAGCCACATTCTCAGCCCATGTTTTATGAATCTTAATCTTTTGAATCATAGTGTCCTCATTATTATCAGGACTTAATATCCTCACTGTGATCGGAAAGATTTGTTCCAAATGATGCTTTTCTCCATGTTAGCATTTTAAATGAGAACATATTGATGTCTCTAAAGACTTTTTACAGGGCAGGGCACGGTGTATATGCCTGTAATCCTAGCACTTAGGAGGCTAAGTTAGGAGTTTGTGAGTTCCAGGCTAGCCTGGGCTACATAAAAGTACTATGTTTCAAAAAATATACATAGATACATAAACATCTTCATAAAATCCTTCAACATAGATTATTTTTCCTAGCCTAATGAGCACCAAGGCACTGAGTATTGCCTTGCTCTGTCAACACCAGCTGCGGTAGAATCCTAATGTTCTTCATTTCTCTTGTATATGTGTTCTGTCTTGTTAGTTTTAAGGTAAAATCTGTTTTGGTTGGGGAACTGTGGCACTTGAGGACAGCTTCCTGCAATGTCTAATTCTTGTCTGTAGCCACCTCAGCTGACTCCTGTGGTACCGTGTGCTGGGAAGGGGACACCACTGACTCCTGCCTGTACGTGCAGCGGTCTGCAAGAGGAGGTTGAGAGATTGCAGGGGCTGGTGTTAAAGTGTCTGGCTGAACAACAGACGCTACAACAAGAAAACCTCCAGATTTTTACCCAGCTACAGAAGCTAAACAAGAAGTTAGAAGGAGGGCAGCAGGTGAGAGCATTAAAAGAGTAATTCAATTTCTAAGTCTGGTTTGAAAAATCACAGAAACAAAACACCAAGTACTGAATAGACTTACTCCTTTGTAAGTCCCCTTACAGTGATGTAAGTGTCATAATTAATCTCAGAAACTTGAGCTTTGTTGAGGCACCTGGATTGAATCATTTTTACCACCTAGTTTCCTTTGGGGTTTCTTTTAATCTTTTAGCCCTTTTTTTTTTTGCCAGTCCTGGAGCTTGAACTTAGGGCCTGGGTACTGTCCCTGAGCTGCTTTTTTTGTTGTTGTTCAAGGCTAGCATTCTATCACTTGAGCCACAGCACCACTGCCAGCTTTTTCTGTTTATGTGGTACTGAAGAATCGAACCCAGGGCTTCATGCATGCTAGGCAAGCACTTCACCACTAAGCCATATTCCTCTGGGCCTGGGTACTACTGCCCCTCAACTCTTCAGCTCAAGGCTAGGGCTTTACCACTTGAGCCACAGCACTGCTTCCGGCTTTTTTTCTGATTATGTGGTGCTGAGGAATTGAACCCAGGGCTTCATGCATGTGAGGCAAGCACTCTACCACTGAGCCACCTTCCCAGCCCCCTCTTTTCTTATATGAATGATTTGAAACATCTTACTGAACACCTGTCAACCCACCATCTAAACTTAATAGTTATTATGTTGCTATATGTATTGTAAGATATCAATATAAATTTTATTTTTCTGAGTCATTTTAAAGTAAGTTATAAAAATCATGAGGTAGACCCATTATGTATACTTTATTACACATCTCAGAACAAAAGTACCCATTCTTTTGGCCAGCCAACTTATTATCATACCTAATAAGATTAACACTAATATTTCTCAAGTTTCATGTAGTATACCAGGTTGGTAATTTGAATTTTCCCAATTTTATTTTTTTAATGGCCTTTTGAAGACCAAAAGCCAGTCAAGAATCCCACATTCCTTATGGTTGTGTCTCATTGTAATCTAGTTGCATTCATTACTATCACTTTTTTTTCTTTGTGGCACTAAGATTTGAACTCAGAGCCTTGTGCCAAGGCAGGTGCTCTAACACTTGATCTACACTCTCTGCCACATCACTTATTATTATCTTTAAGTAGTTTGTACAAAAGGTTTCAATTCAATATGTCAGTGTGTGAGTACAATGCATCTTGACCAGCATTACCCCTTCTATCATTGGCTTGATAATGGCTTGAAGAAACAGGGCTAATTTAACAAAATATCCTGTGCTCTGAATTTGTCTCTTTGGTCTAAATTGTTTTGTCACCTTGTCTTTTCTGAAAACTAGATAGTCTTAAAGCTTGATGTTTATTTGGATGGAAAATAGTTTTGGAAGAACATTTTTTCCAGTGATGCTGCTGATACTGTTTTTAAAGAACCCTGATACCATTTTCTGTAATTTCAGCTTAAAATAGGGAACCAGATTCGGCCCTTGGCTTTGCCATTTATCTGCTATATGTGTTTGAGTTCATTACTTGTTGTTCTGAGCCCCAGTTTCCTAAAAGAGGAGAATAATACCATTAACCCCATATGTGTTACTTTGAGGATTAATAGAGAGAGAAAAAAAGAGAGAGAGAGAGAGAGAGAGAGAGAGAGTGTGTGTGTGTGTGTGTGTGTGTAGTGTGTGTGTGTTGAGGTAAAATTGGAAGCCATCGCAGGCCGGAAGATTGTTTGCCCAGGACTGTTTCTGCTGAAAAACAGAAGATTCTGCATTCCAGAAAACTCTGTAGGTCTGGGCAAACCAAGACAATTAGTCACCTTACCTGCAACAGATATAAAGAGGTAGACTAAAGAAATGCCATGAGGGGCTGGGAAGGTGGCTCAGTGGTAGAGCGCTTGCCTTGCATGCATGAGGCCCTGGGTTTGATTACTCAGCACCACATAAGCAAAAAGAAAAAAGCCAGAGTGTGCCGTGGCTCAAGTGGTAGAGTGCTAGCCTTGAGCTGAAGAGCTGAGGGACAGCGCCAGGCCCAGAGTTCAGGCCCCATGACCGGACACAAAAAATAAAAAGAAATGCCATGAGCTTCTGTAGGATCAGCCACAAGTCCTTAGTGACATTGAAAGTACAGTCCTAAATGGCTATGATTAGGCAGTTCTGTTGCTAGTCTGAGACTGTATTTTATCTGGACAGGTGGGGATGCATTCCAAAGGAACTCAGACAGCAAAAGAAGAAATGGAAATGGATCCAAAGCCTGACCTAGATTCAGATTCCTGGTGCCTTCTGGGAACAGATTCCTGTCGACCCAGCCTCTAGTCTCCTGAGTCTACACAGGAAACTGGGATCTAAAGAACCTCACAGCACACTTACTGAATGCAGAGAGCAACTTTCCTGGCTTTGTTCACTTGCAGACAAGGAGCGCAAGGCGGAGGCTCTGAAGCACTTTCCTTGTACATGTGGAGAGTGGCGTTGCCTTTTAGATAGGATCTAGGAGTGAGTTCATTGTTTTGGAGAATGGAAGGGACCGGGACCCAGGACCCTGGCTTTGTCATCAGTGACTGCCATAGCAACAGCAGCTCTGTACCTCATCTGTTGATCCCTCCTTTAAAGAGGAGACACAGTGCTCACCTTAATTACGCTGATAGCAGTTCATATACCATTTATCATTTTCAGCATTGATTGGAAGCTGCCTTGGAAATTCAGCACCAGGCGTTGCCCCTCCAGGTGGGGGAGGGGAAAGTGTAAAGCTGCTTTGGGCTGGAACCAGGTGTGGCCCTCACGGGTCCTCCAGAAAGTGGTGAAGCATCTGAGCCCTCTGAGGAGCCCTGAGTCCAGGAAAACTTGTGCAGTGGAGTCAGTCTAGTGTTTGCTTTCAGAAAGTTGGATTACTTTGTGCAGCTAAACACTTGAAGAGGAAAAGTGGGCTTAGATTGCTTTCCTCTGAAGATTGATTGAAATGTCATTAGTGAGGAGAGAAAGGGCAAGTCCCTTCTTATCACACAGCTATCTCTTCAGCCTGTGGCTGGTACAGGCATCCTCTTGGCTCTGGAGGATGCCTCCAAGGAAGATGTATCTGAGAATTGAGTTAGAGGACAGTAGGTAGGGCTACAGAAGGAAATTGTAAGGCAAAGGAACTCCTTCAATGCCTGTACCTTGTGTATGAGTGATGCTGAGTTTCTGGGTTGGCTTCTTGTGCCTCAACTCTTAAGGGTCTAAGATCTCAGCAGCCCTAGCCCTAGCTACTCCCTTTCTGAATGTCTATAGTCAGTATTTTTCCCCTTCTGGTGTGTTTTGAAGCCACACCACACATAGTGAATCTGTATCATTTTTCCTACTTGAGTGGCCCAACACCAGCACTAAAACCTAAGTGTCCTGGAAGCCTAGTAGTACCTGGTGCCTGCCAGGTGGAAGGGATTTGGCTGTAAGCTCTCCTCTGATGTGTCCTTGAAATCAGGAACAAGCTACCTTTTCTAAACACATTTTATGCCCTAGAACCACCAGGCTATATATGCAGAATTTCAGGCTACTCAAGGATGTGAACCTGGGTTTTCCATCGAGCCTTATGAAATATTCTGTAGTGTTTATCTCATATCTTGTTGCCCCCAACAGCTGGATTGTTTTATCCAAACCAAAAAAAAAATGTTCTTAATATTGTAGGAGGATCTATACAGTGGAAATTTTGCCATTTTCCTAAACCTGGTAGTGCAAAGGCTGGTGCTTGGAGGAAACCCCCTTCTGGTGTGGGCACCTCTGTCAATGGGATCTTCTTTGGTTTGCTATCCCATTGTTTTCTCAATTCTGAGAAGCACAGTACAGTAGTACTAACATATTCACCAAAGCCTTTTCCTATAATAAGGGAAGGGCCAACCCTGACTTAAGGTTACAAGGTCTGGGGGCCTGAGGTTGGCTATCAGTCCCCTGACAGTAGGTTTTGGTTCATCATGTAAATGAAGCTTTGGTGTTCATAAGGACTGACTGGCCTTTCATGTTCCTGTATCATACTCACCATCTCAGCAGGCCTGAGAGGCAGGGTGAGTTTGGGAATTGATCATGAGGATTGCTTCTGCTCTGGAGCTGAGAGACATGGGCATGTGCTCAGACAGTGAGGTGACAGACAGCAAGTGTTGAAGGGAGACGAGCTCTAGTTCTTGTTGGGGGGCGGGGGGGGCGGGGGGGGGGGGGAAGGTGTCAGTCCCAAGCGGTGGAATATGATAATGGTTTTCTTCCTATGTTCCCTTGGGAAGTCTAGGCTTGATAATAATCTGGCTGAGTAAATTCTGTGCCTTAGAGACAATTTGCACTTTCCCTAATTGTGCCTGGGATAGCCATATGATTTTCCCCACCAAACAGCTATGCAAACAGAAACCAGTTCAAGGTGGCAGCCATGCGTTAGAATATTTTGAAAGCAAGGCAGCTGAAGTGCCTTTGAATGGTTTCCTGTAGCTAATTTTCTTTCAAGTGTGTCCTGCTTTTCCTTATGCAGTGCTGGGTGTTTGAAGTTTTCCAGTAGTATTGCTTTTGAGTTACAGTATAACCTGCATTACTTTGCGCCTGCACTTTTGCTGCAGAACCAGCTTATTGTTAGCCAGAAGCTGGAAAGGTTGAGGGTGGAGTGGTTTGGCATTTCTGTTTTAAATAAACATTTAAACCCTGAGTGATGTGGTTCAGTAAGCCTGTGTGTGAACCTCAGTCATTGGAGATAAAACACCCACATTCTAGGCCTTTGTGAATCTTCAATTACATGAGTCTTTATATAAATAATGTTCCTTAACAGAAACAAAAAGGACAATGTTCAGAAAAAATCTTCTTCCCAGTGTCTTATTCTTGCCAGTAAAGTCATTTCAATTGCTAGAACCTTTTTCCCCCCAAAAGACCTCTGAAAGTGTGGGAGTGGGGATTGAACCATTAAAAGCAGATCCATTCTTGCGTTTTCCTCTTCAGTGTCAGGGACAGGGGTGCTCTTCCAAGTGGTCATGCCAGGTTCTTTCTATAAAACTTTTCTCAAAGAAGCCGAGCTGTACTTGGTCTTCCTGGTATAGCAGACAAGTTACAAACTTCTCTTGGCTGAGCATCTTGCTAAATTTAAAGCAAAGTCCTTCTAAAACTCAAACTTCATTTGTTTTTGTTATCTATTAGGAAACACAATAAAGAGTGACTCAGGAACTGGAGGCATGTCTCACTGAAGTGGTAAGAATGCCAGCCTTGAGGGAAAAAGCTAAGCAGGATCAAGGCCCTAAATATACTCTTCCTTCGGCACCAAAAAACAAAACAAACAAAAAAAAAAACAGTTTCACACAAATTCATTCAAATGAGATCCCTGGGACTCTCAAGGAAGTATTAGTCACAATGGCATCAGGACAGAGTAGGCTATAGTCAGGAGTGAAACACATTCTTCCCTGTTGGAAAGCCAAAAATTGTTTTTGCTTCCATGCTACAGAAGTGCACTAATCATTAAACTCAGAGTCACGGGGTTAGGGAAGAGAGCCCATGTCCTGTCACATCTGCTGCTGCCTGTCGCTTTGAAGAGTGATCTGTTGGGCTGAAAGCAAATAATGACCAGGGGTGCTGTATGGCATAAAGCAGGAAGACATATTATCTCGGTATTACACACACAGTTCCCAAAATTAGTTTCCATGTGAGCCTTCATCGTGAGGCTTTTTTTCCCCGTAGCTTAACTTTTTGAACTTGAAAATTTGTTTATTTGCACTAAATGTTCTTGGTTAAGGTAATATAAAATGGACATTTACAAGCAGCATTTATGTGTCCTCTGCTGTCCTTTTTCTACACAAGAAGACACTTAGAAAAAAAAAGGTCTTACCTCTTCCCAAAAGCCAAGTCAGATTCAAAAGATAGAAACTCAGGGCCTCAACATGTACATATCAAAGGGAGCACTTAAGACATTAGCTATTACATTTCTTTGGGAGCTAAAGAATGAATAACTACATCACTGGGTCTATAGATATAGCATTTATTCTCTGGAAGACCCAGACCTGTGACCTTAACATCATCTAGGGCTGAAACTGACCCTAATGCTGCCATTCGACAACTAAAGGAGCCACTAATTCTGAACTCCACCCACAATGCCCTAGGCTGGCGTCATGTTTCCAGGACCTCCAACTTTTCAAGACATTCTCCCTATCTTGTTTTTCAAATGTTGGAATGTATTTTAAAACTGCGTAGCCAAATAAGCTAGATCGCTGGAGCAACGCTGTCCACAACTTATTCTTGCCATCCATTGCTTTTAACATCAAGTGTGGAACTTAGTGTATTTCTCATTAAACTTCCTGGGGAGATGAGATACATATTGGGTCAAATATCTTGTCTCTGAGCTGTCCTTACTCAAATCTTTTTGGTTAAGTTCATAAAATCCATTAATTGAGGACGTAACTTGTACTAGGCACTTTTCTACGTAGGAAATTTAAAAGATCTGGGCCTGCCCCTGCAAACATACTCTAACCATCAGGGACATGGGACTCTGCCAGTGCCTCTGCTTGGCTTTGATGGTAGATTTGCTCCCTCATTTAAAAACGCATTCAACCCCCTGAGTTGAGAGCAGATTATCAACATCTTTTTCTTTTTATCCAACATATGAAACCCATTAGAAAAGAACAAGTTGAAGTAAAATGTGTTTTCTCCCCATTCCTATGCTGTAACATACATAAAGATGTTTCCTTTATTAACAGTACACCACAGGGAAGGTTTAAGATACACTGGTGCCCTCACATTATGTACTTTTATAGGCTTTTGGCCAGGACCATGCCCCTGGGAGGCCAAGATAGAGTTCCATTTAATAATGCCTTAAAGCACAATCTTACTATCCTTTGTTTTCTTGTGCTAGGGATCGAACCCAGGCTTTGTACGCGCTAGGCAAGCACGCTACCACTGAGCTGCACCCTCAGTCCTTTATTGTTTTTCTCAACAGTTATCAACTGTATGACTGTAGTCTGCTGACCCCAACTCACTCGGTACTCTGAACTTGCATGAATGAGAAGGCTTTAAGGAAACTTTGAACACGTGATGACCGGAGGCCCTTCACTAGCACAAAGCCCAGGCTCAGCTCACAGGAAGAGAACTTTAATGCAGCCTGTTCACGATTTACTGTCCTCACCCACTTGCTTGGGGCGAGAACATAAGGCACACAAGCAAAGGTTGTGATGCTAGGGGAAGCTGGGTTTTCCTCTGTCTCGATGCTTACCAATGGCTCTCTCCTAGTGCAGCTTAACTGCAGGCAAATGTGGCTTCTGGAAAAGTTCTGTTTTCTTTCTGCTTTGCATCAAATATATTTGGTTTCTGTTTACTGCTGAAGAGAAGCAGAGCTTTGGGAACTACGTAAGGTAGTCTCGCTGTCATCTGCTCAGCTCTCATGCTTCCGTGGAGGTGGAGGGCGGTTCTTGATGGTCTTACACTTGGGAATGTGTCGCTCAGCCACCTTAGGAGCAAAGTGGCGGCTACAGTGAGGACACTGAACATAGTCTGGATTTTCTGCCGGCAGGATTGGAGGCAAGTCTGCTGGGTTTCCACCTTTGGCAATTACTTGCTGGACTTCTCGAGCCTGACGGAGAGTACGGATGAAAGATTCGTGCTTTTGTCTCCAGTTGCTCTTCCGAGGAGGTTCAGCCTGTAATATAAAAAGAACACTGATCCTTCAACAGGGTATTTATCTTGTCTCCTTCCTGAGACTCCCTGAGAATGATAGTCAGAAATTAAAAGGCTTACTGATTCTCAAGAGAACAGGAAGAGGGCAGCAGTAACATCTGACTTGTCATAGCAGAGGCACAGACCAAGGGGGAAGACAGCTGGGAAACGAGCCATTTTCCCAGCAAAATGCCTGAGGAGGTCAGTGCTTGGAAGTACTTGATAGTAGAAAAGCAGAAGGTGCAGGCTGAAAAGCTGGCACCCAGGGCTTCTCTCCACCTTGCACATCCAAATGTCCAGTACTCTCACAAGAGAACAGGGAGACTTGTTCTCTGAGAAACAGAATTGGATGGGTTTCAGACACAGAAATCCAGACAGGGTGGAGAACAAGGTTAATCTCTGGACTGAAATGGGGATTAGGTTCAAGTATACATTACAAATTGTGGAACTTTCATCCTTCTTCTCCAAACTCAATTCCCAGAGTACCAAGAAAACTGACATCATCCTCTTTCTTTCCTTTTTTCTTTTTCTTCCTTCCTTTTCTTTCTCTCTTTCATGTGTGTGTGCGCGTGTGCGTGCGTGCGTGTGTGTGTGTGTGTGTGTGTGTGTGTGTGTGTGTGTGTGTGTGTGTGCCTGCCTTCCTGGGAATTAAACTCAGGGTTTTGACACTGTCTGAGCTTTTTTCACTCAAGGCTAGAACTCTACTACTTAGCCACAGCTCCACTTCTGGCTTTTGGTAGTTTTGGAGATAGGAGTCCCATAGACTTTCCTGCCCAGGCTGGCTTCAAACCACAATGCTCAGATCTCAGACTTCTTAGTAGCTAGGCTTTCAGGAGTGAGCCATATCAGTGCCTGGCTCTGACATCCTGACTCTGAAAAAAGAAGGGTTCTCTAGATGATGAATGATCCAGAGATAAGCCTTCAGACATTGACATTGGAGGACTCAATCGCAAGGACCTAATCACTATTTAATAACCTTAATATGAAGACTCTTAGTCAATAAATGGACAGACAAGCCAGGTGCCAGTGACTCATGCCTGTAATACTAGCTCCTCAGGAGACTGAGATGAGGATCCCAGTTCAAAGCCAGCCCAGGCAGGTAAGTCCAAGAGACTCTTATCTCCAATTAACCAACAGAAAACCAGAAGTGGCTCTGTGGCTCAAGTGGTAGAACGCTAGCCTTGAGCTGAAGAGCTGAGGGACAGCACTCAAGCCCAGAGTTCAAGCCCCACGACTGACTAGATAGATAGATACATAGATAGACAAAAGCTCTAAAAGACTTTTAAAAAGTTCACAGGGCTGGGAAAGTGGCTCAGTGGTAGAGTGCTTGCCTTGCATGCATGAGGCCCTGAGTTTGATTACTCAGCATCACATAAGCAGAAAAAGTCGGAAGTGGCACTGTGGCTCAAGTGGTACGGTGCTGGCCTTGAGCTGAAGAGCTGAGGGACCACACCCAGGTCCAGAGTTCAAGCCCCACAACTGACCCCCCCCCCCAAAAAAAAGTTCAGAAACAAAAACTCAGGAAGAAAAATGACAAAACTCTTCTTTACAGAAAAGCACAACAGGGGGCTGGGAAGGTGACTCAGTGGTAGAGTGCTTGCCTTGCATGCGTGAGGCCCTGGGTTCAATTCCTCAGCACCACAAAAGAAAAAAGAAAAAAAAGCCGGAAGTGGCGCTGTGGCTCAAGTGGTAGAGCGCTAGCCTTGAGCTGAAAAGCTGAGGGACAGCGCCCAGGCCCAGAGTTCAGGCCCCATGACCGGACCCAAAAAAAAAAAAAAGAAAGAAAGAAAAGCACAACAAAATATGTACAAGAAGGGCTGGGAAGGTGGCTCAGTGATAGAGCGCTTGCCTTGCATGCATGAGACCCTGGGTTCAATTCCTCAGCACCACATAAGCAGAAAAGGCTGGAAGTGGTGCTGTGGCTCAAGTGGTAGAGTGCTAGCCTTGAGCTGAAGAGCTCAGGAACAGCGCCTAGGCCCAGAGTTCAGGCCCCATGACAGAACCCCCCCCCCCCAAAAAAAAATGTATACTATGAAAGAGAAACAACCAAAGAACTTGAAAAAGTAATAAAAGCTGTGATAGTTCGAAATTCAGTGGAAACTTTATAAAAAATGTCAAAATGTTCTCAGAATGGACAATAAGATGAAAATGGAAAGTTCAAAAGGGCCACTATGCTATCTTCACATGGAAGCTAGACCTAAGAGATATTGATGCACACGCATACAACATGATTCTGTCGGACAATGGAGGAGGGTGGGAAAGGGAGAGGAAAAAAAAAGATAAAGGATAAATAATTTCAAAATACAGTGCAACTATGTAAGAAGATGGTATAAGGAATCTCAACAGCATCAATAGGAGATTTGGGGGGACAGAGAGTAAGAAAGCAATACAGAGAGTTATTCTGAACAAAATAGATACAAAGCTGAAGTGCCATAGTGAAACCCCTTGGTGCAAGTAAATTAAAAAAAAGACAGGGGTATCAGCAAGAAGGGGAGAGCTAGCAGAGAGAATGAGGGTAAATTAGTTACATGTATGAAAGTAGAACAATGAAACGTGTTGAAATTATTTTAAGATGGAGGCGTGGATTAAGGAATAATAACAGAAAGGGTAAGGTTGATTATGATATATTGTATATATATTGTATACATGTGTGAAAATATCCCACATTGAAACCCCCCTTGTATGGCTATGCTAATGGAAAGTATAAAATATTAGGAGGAATTGGGAATGTGGCTTAGTGGTAGAGTGTTTGCCTAGCATGCATGAAGCCTGGTTCGATTCCTCAGTACCACATAAGCAGAAAAAGCTGGAAGTGGTGCTGTGGTTCATATAATAGAGTACTGGCCTTGAGGAAAAGAAGATCACAGACAGTGCCCAGGCTCTGAGTTCAAGCCCCAAGACTGGCAATAACAAAAAAATTATATACATATATATATATTAGAAAGCCAATCCTGTAGACCATATATATACAAATATATATTAGAAAGCCAATCCTGTAGACCCAACATGTGCCCATTAGTAGTTCTAAAAAGAACCAAGAAGCCGGGCGCTGGTCGCTCACGCCTGTAATCCTAGCTACTCAGGAGGCTCAGATCTGAGGATCGCGGTTCAAAGTCAGCCCGGGCAGGAGAGACTGTGAGACTCCTATCTCCAATAAACCACCAGAAAAAACTGGAAGTGGCGCTGTAGCTCAAGTGGTAGAGCGCTCGCCTTGAGCTGAAGAGCTGAGGGACAGCGCCCAGGCCCAGAGTTCAAGCCCCACGGCCGACCAAAAAATAAAAATAAAAAAAATAAAAAGAACCAAGAAATCATAAATAAGAAATTATTTCTAAAATAATATAATTCAATTTTCTAGAATTAAAGATTACAGTCTTGAGCTGGACACTGGTGGCTCACACCTGCAATCCTCAGGAGGCCAAGATCTGATGGTTATGGTTCTAAGCCAGCCCAGGCAGGAATTCTGTGAGACTCGTTTCACTGGTTAAATCACAGAAAAAGCTGAAGTGGTGCTGTGGCTCAAGTGGTAGATTGCCAGCTTTGAACAAGAAAAGCTCACGGATAGTGCTCAGAGTTCAAGGCCAAGACCAGGAAAAAAAAAAAAAAAATCACTAAAACTAAAATGGCTTAACAAGTATCTGAATCAATCACTGTAAAATTTCAAAATTACAAGCCGGGCACCAGTGGCTCACACTACTTAGAAAGCTGAGAGCTGAGGATTGTGGTTTGAAGCTACCCTGAAGAAGGAAAATTGAGAGCCTCTTATATCCAATTAGCCATCAAAAAGGTGGATGTGGAGTTATGGGTTAAGTGGTAGAGCATTAACCTTGAGCACCTTGAGCTAAAGCCCCAGTATTGGCAACAACAAACACAAAAAAAGAAATCAGAATAAACAAAATACAGTATGCTTTCTGATAAACAACATAACAATTTCATAGTATTAAATAGGAATCCAAATGGTATTAGATTTCCCAACAGTAAACACTAGATGAGACACGTCTTAAAAGTTCTAATAAAGGGACTGGGAAGGTGGCTCAGTGGTAGAGCACTTGCCTTGCAGGCCTGAGGCTCTGGGTTTGATTCCTCAGCACCACATAAGCAAAAAGAAAAAAGCCGGAAGTGGCGCTGTGGCTCAAGTGGTAGAGCGCTAGCCTTGAGCTGAAGAGCTGAGGGACAGCGCCCAGGCCCAGAGTTCAGGCCCCACAACCAGACCCAAAAATAAAAAAAATAAAAACAGTTCTAATAAAATAATTTTCCACTGAGGATTCTATACCCAGCCAAATCATTGATAGCAGGCTACTTTTATAAATATTTTCATTCAAGACAAAAAAAAAATACTTCTTGAACAAAATTCTTGTAACTGTCAGCAAATCAAGAAGTGAAGCAAGAAAAATAAAGACACAGATGATGGAAATAGGTCCCAAACAGAAGAGAAGCAAAAAGAAGTCCCAAGTCAGTAGGTCCACATCAGGACTTGAGAATAACCAGTCTAGATGAAGCAGGGGGAGACACAGAGAAGGAAGAGAAATTTCTAGAATAAAAAGAAAAAAAAACCCTAGTATGAGAGGTATTTGAGCACTAACAAAAACATTAATATATGAATCAACAAGAAATATATTCAAGGGAAAAAAGAGGTTTCATTAAGAGAGTCTCTTATTGACATAGAGAAGGGTAGAGTCAGTGTTAGTAAAAGTATTCAGGACACTTTCCGAGAAATCAACTAGAAGCAGGCTCCTCAAGTATATACCTATATTTTAACTCTTTCTCATACTGCAACTTTACTCAATACAAAGCATAAAGAAGTGTATGGTTCTTATGCTGGGCACCAGTGGTTCAAGCTTCTAATCCTAGCCACTTAGGAGGCTGACATCTGAGAATCACAATTCAAAGCCAGCTTGGGCAAGAAAGTCTGTGAGACTATCTCCAATTTTCTCCAGAAAACTGGAAATGTTTCTGTGGCTTAAAAAAAAAGTATATGGTTTTAAGAAGTGTATGGTTCCTGACTTCAAATGCTTACCATCTAGTGGACAAGAGAAACAAGTCTTCTGGAAGTTATGTAAAGATTAAAGGATGTCAAGAAGCCAGGCACCAGCAGAGCCTCAAGCCTATAATCCTAGTTACTAAGGAGGCTAAGATTTGAGAATCGCAGTTTGGAACCAGCCTAGGCAGCTAAATCTGTGAGAATTTTATTTCCAAATACCCTGCAAAAAGCCAGGGGTTGTGGAGTAGCAGCTGTGAGCTGTAAAAAACAAGTCAAGAGTGTGAGGCCCTGAGTTCAAGCCCCAATACCAACCACAATAACAAAAACAAAAGAATGTTTGTGGAAACTGTTTGTTGATTTGAATAGACTAGAGGAGGGTCAGGGAGACACAGCTGCTCAGCTGCTGAAGGCACAGGGCTCTAAATAAGACTTGAGGCACTTCCAGGAGGGTATGTACACCCATCCAGGTCCTTTCTGCCTTAATGTCCTCAGTTACACACTTGTTCTCAAACTAGTTTCTACAAAGCTGGATTGTCTGATCTCAGAAACCCAGTGGGCTTTATTTGTGTGTGTGTGTGGGGGGGGGGGTTCTTCATGTTTAATATACTCAAGAATTTAAGAAACACAGTATTCATTTAGGTTCTGGCCAAAAGTAAACCACTATGGTAGATTTATGGAGAGGAAATCCCCAGTGGATTATTGGGTTGACCAAAAAGAAAACACAAAAGATTAGTAACTAGCCATACTGTCATTTCATCTGCCGGAACTAATTGTGGATGTCTTGGAAGCTAGATTTTAGGGAGATGACTCTGAGCATGGGAGGAACTTTCTTTGTGGTGGATCCCCTAGATTATACCAAAAGAAAAAAACAAAACTGCAGTGTAATCCACATCTGCTAGAGGCCATCACATCATGTTGAGTTTTTGTTTTTTGTTTTTTGGTCGGTTGTGGGGCCTGAAAGCTGGGCCTGGGCGCTGTCCCTCAGCTCTTCAACTGAAGGCTAGCACTCTACCACTTAAGCGTCAGCGCCACTTCCGGCTTTTTCTGCTTATGTGGTGCTGAGGAATCGAACCCAGGGCCTCATGCATGCAAGGCATGTACTCTACCACTGAGCCACCTTCCCAGCCCCTCATGTTGAGTTTTTAAAGGGCCAGCAAATGCATACAAACCAGATGGATGAGAGGTTCCAGCATAGCAGAGGAGTTTGGAAATAGATGAATCTCTTTCTTTTTTTCTCTCTCTCTCTCCCTCCTTTCCTCTCTCTCTCTCTCTCTCTCTCTCTCTCTCTCTTAGAATATTAGTCAGATGAGGCCCTTGAGATCATATATCCTCAGCTTTCCTTAAGCTTGTTCAATTTATTCTCTTTACTATCAATATTTTCTTTTAAATTCAAGATCCCTAGACATTACAGGCTTAATAAGCTCACTAAAAACATTGAAAACATTAAAACAAAAGTATTTGTCAATGCATTCCATTTTGAGAAACACTCATTTTACAAACCAAATGACATTGTTTAAGGGTCAGTCTCCTCCAGAGATGTCCAAACATACATGATTCTCATGAACTTACTACCTAAGAGTCTTGTAGCCTTTACTTTTTACAACCTGGTTGTAAAGTGAGGAAAGTTCTGAAAGGTAGTCCAAAAGAAGATCTCTTACTCTCGAGATGTGCACACTCTAAGCAGAGAGAAGGGTAATTCCAAATTTAGCTCTGCTTCTCATATTCTCTAGGAAGGCATAGCAAAATCGAGCTACTCTTGAATGCAGCTAAAGGCACACATGGTAACAGCTCTAGTCTTGGGAGGGAGCAGGGTATATGTTCCAAGGGGGAAAAATGTATGTTTATCTCAACATAAAATTGTGAGGTTTTAAATTTTTCCTGCTACAAATTTTTGATGTGGTAAACATATTAACTTTATATTCAAAAGAACATATATTTGTCAGTCTAGATTTTACAGTCATCCCAATATGAACGTGCCATTTAAAGCTGGGACTTCAAGGGAGTTATTTAACATTCTCTAGTCGTGTGTGTGTGTGTGTGTGTGTGTGTGTCTAAGTGTGCATATATGTAGTGTTGTTTTGTTTTTTTTTGAGAAAATGAGAGCTAATGAGATCTTCACAGTTGTGAGGATCTCACGAAAAGCTCCTGTCCCTGTGGCTGGCACACAAGAACTGTTCATTCTTTCCTTTATCCTATGTGACACGATGTTTCCCTAAAGAAAACTGGTAAGGACATATCAGGCCCTTACAAGGATCCCCACACAAAGGCAACTCTAGGAGGCCCTTATTACCTTGACTGCATCTGGCCCCTTCCAGTTCAAGTATTGCTCTAGTTCTGTGCCCTTAGCCCGAGCCCTGGAGGAGTCAAACACTTTCCTCTTGGACCCCTGCATCCTGCCACAGACAGTGGAATGTCTCTCCAGCCTGAGCAAGAGAAATGTGCGACCACAGTGGCTACACTTGCCCATCTCTGGCTTCTCAGTCGAGCTGCTAGAGCCTGAGGAGCCTGGGGTCCTAGATAGGCTAGAACTTCTGGTAGATTCTTGAAAAGGGCTGCTGGTCTCTTCCAGAGGCTGAGAGAAGTTCTCTGAAGATGGTCTTGAGGCTTGGGCTCGGATTTTGTTATTACTTTTCACCAGTTTTTCCCTTTTGAGCCTCTGGATTCCATAACCAGACAACTGGAATGGAGTAGAATTCTCCTGAGGGCATCCCCATATTTCCTCCTCTTCTCTGTCTCTGATCAATACCTCTTCAGACCTGACTTCTGGGGAAAAGACAGGTTTGTATGTGCTGCTGCTGTTACTGCCTTTAATTCTTCTCCTGGAGATTACCATTCTCTGTAGTTCTTGGTCCTCATTTTCCTTGGCCTGTTCCTTTTCCTTCTGGATCCTTCTGAGTCCCTGCTCTGTCTTCTTCAGCTTTTCCCTCAGGAGATTTTCCTTTCTTCGGATTTCCTCCTCTAAGCTTTCCCCAGCAGCTTCAAGACGTTGGATCTGTATCCAGTCAATTCTATGGAGGTTTGTCATGGCCTTCTCCTCCTGCAAGGTGGCAAGAACTGATAAATTCACCCAGTTCCTCAGACCAGAGTTGCTGTCTGAGAACTCTCTTGGCTCTGAAAATCCTGGGTAAACGATCTGGTCCCCATCAGGACCAGCCTCACCTGTGTTATGAGACTTCCGGTGGACCATGGGTTTCAGTGGGTAGGCCCGGTCTACCCCAACTCGCTTTTTTGTAAAGGGAATGAAGTCCTGATCATTTGCTTTGGGATACCGGGATTGAGGGCTTGATGAATAAAACAAACTCTTTCCTTGGCTCTGGAAATCACTTCCTGAGTCTCGCTGGCTGATTCCAGCACAGTGGAGATAGGAATAAGTCCTGGTTTTTGTGCAGGTGTTCCATTTAGGGTGAGTGTAGACATTATCCAGTGCCAGCTGTTTGTTGCTCAAAGACTTCTGCTGGCAGTTGTTTCTCAAGTGCTCCATCGGGGACCGCTGGGGAGAGTCACCTTGTTCATAAAGGTCTTGCTTGGCTGAGTGGAGCCCTGGAGCTTCTGTTTTATTATGTGGGAACATAACGCCCACAGGCAGATGTGGAGCCAACTGGAGACCAGCCATTCAGGGTCTGGACTGCAGCCTAGGGGAGATTTAAACCAGATACATGTGAAAGATTTGTTTGAGGTTCCCTCCTGTTTGCTACAGTAAACTGTTTCTATATTTGCCTTATGCATGAAACTATTCTAGGGACAGTAATGCTGGATCTGCCAGAACAATAAGCATAGTAAGTTTTGATTTTTAGGCCCTGAGGGTCTAAAACTAGATTGGACACAGGTGTTCCTGTCAGTCGATCATCCTTTTGCAACAGTACCAGTCACAAACAATCATGTAGTCGATGAAATGTTTTAGACCTGTAACATTAAGAAGCAAATTCCCCTTGCTGGCATGTTTCTTCACTTATTAACTGAGAAGTTAGTAAGCGACCAGCCACACCATTTTACAGATGAGAAAACAGTGGCTCACAGATACTAACTGGCATAGAGCTTTCAAGTTCTTCCTTCTGCTGGGAATCAAAAGGGCACGGGGACCGCCAGGGGCCTGCGGGGCGGATGCCTGGAGAGGTCAAACCTGCACGGTAAAGGGTGGCGCCGATGGGTCACCCCAGGGGTGGAGGCCACCTGACCTGGCCGCGGCCTGCTTTAGATCTGGAACTCTGAAGTCATGTTGGGTCCTGAAGGATCAGGTAGGACCCCTCACCGGGGACTCCGCTTTGGGGACAAGCCCTCGGGAGGCCGAGGCATTCACCCCGGGTCTCCCCGCCCTTCCGCCTACCTGAGGCTCTCGGGTACAGCTCCAGCTCCGGCAAAGCCCAAGCATCTAATTTTCCAGACCTGACCTTGCCAACCGACAGCCGCGCAGGCGCTCTTGAGCCCGCCTCTGTTATTGCTGTTGTCCGGGAGACGGGAGCGCGTGCGCGCCGAGCCCCGCCTCCGGCAGGGAACCCGGCTGGGAAGGCGCGCGCAGGCGCAGTTCACACGCGACCTCGGGGGGCGCGTGGGGGGGGGGAGGTAGAGGGTGAAGGGGGGGGTGCGGTCGGGTTCAGTGTCACCGGACGCTGTGTCCCGCCAACTCTGCAACTCAGCCCTGCCCTGCCCTCGGGAGACGGGGGAGGGGCGGGAGGCTCCACCACAGAAGCACTTGTGTTTGTCTGAGAACAATGCTCCCAGCCCTCGGGGTGTGCCCTCGCCGGGCGGAGGGTGGAACCCCGGGATGCGCCGCGGAGCCACCCCGCCGCGGGATTCCGGTGTCCGCCCGGCTGGCGGGCGCGGGCCTGCTGATCGCCGCGCTGGGCGCGCTCGGCCGCTCCCCGCGGGCCCCAGGTACGGCTGCAGCCCTCGGTGCTGCCTCCCGCTAACTGCTTGGGAGCTTGAGCGCTGATCTTTTTTTTCCCCACGCGTTATCTTTCTGGGGTGGTTTTTGGAGCCTCCCTAATTATTCTGTTATTGTAATGGTTTGCTCTCACGTGGTAAATACGGCTTTCTGTACTTAGGGCCCAGGCGTGACTCAGCCAAATGCCACGATAATAAAGCTAACTGCCATCGACAGTAATCAGCGTAACCTGATTTCGGCACTAACCGATACTCTAGGACTTGATTGACCTCAGGAGAGAGTTTGTGGGTCTTCATGCTTCGGTTCATTTGGGTAAGCTGTTTGGAACGGGCAGCTCACTTTTCCTGTAACTACTCAAAAGAATTCTGCACGTGGAAAACAGCGCGGTCGGTCGTGTTAATACTGCAACACAGACTGCAGCTTTTAAGTGTTACAGAGAAAATCCTTCTCGCTGGGTCCTCAGGTTTTTTCCAGTCCTTGTTTTCATTCCTAAGTGAACTATTCTGCCTTCTCCACAAACCAGCCCCAGACATTTCCACTCTCCAGGGGCCTCCAGTTAGCTCAGCTTCTCCAGCCTCTGTCAACTCCCACAGCTTCCACTCGGGCAGAATTTCCCAGAGGGCTCCTTTCTCTCTGACTTCCTTCTAGTTTCTAGTTTGTTCCTGGACATGTCGCTTCTGGAGTCTCCTCCACCTCCAATTAACCAGCAAAAAGCAGTGGTTCAAGTAGTAGAGCACCAACCAGACAAGCATGTAGCTCCTGAGTTCAAACCCAGTACTGGAAAATAACAACAACAATAATAAAGTTGAAACACATAATTTAGCATGGCATTTCTAACTCCCAGATTAGATCCACCGTATCTTTCCAGCCCTGCCTCCCCTTCCTAGTCCCTAGATTCCAGTTCAGTAGGGTCAATTCTGGTTGTGTATTAAAACAACTTGGAAATCTCTATGTTGAGAGTAAGGTCTAGGCAGTCATATTTTTAGAAGCTTCTCAAGGGTTGAGAACCCCTGGTATAGACATAACTGACCAGTTGTCCTTTCTTGCCTTAGTGGTACTCTTTCCATGTCTGGGAAGTGGTAGAACACACCACAGCTTCATCACTTACTGGATAGAGCACATTACAGATCCATCACTTAACCTTGGAATAATGCTGTTTTATACAAGAGCCAGTTTTCCCAGACAATTCATTTCTTTGCTCCTTCATAATATTTTTGTTCCTGTTATAAGGGCTGATTCAAGATGAGCTCTCAATGAATGTTCATGAAATTGAATCACCATGTTGTATATTTTATTGTCATCATGTGCATGCATTTGAATATATCCTTTCCACTAAAAAAAAGTAAAAACTGGGGATGGGAAGATGGCTCAGTGGTAGAATGCTTGCCTTGCATGTCTCTGAGGCCCTGGGTTCAATTCCTCAGCACCACATAAGCAAAAAGAAAAAAGCCGGAAGTGGCGCTGTGGTTCAAGTGGTAGAGTGTTAGTCTTGAGCTGAAAAGCTGAAGGACAGCGCCCAGGCCCAGAGTTCAGGCCCCACGACCGGACCTCCTCCCCTCCCCCCCAAAAAAGTAAAAACTCTCTGAAGGCAAGTGTTACCATTCATCTTTGTACATTTTATGGTGTTCCATACATTTTAGATTCTCAATAGATTCTGGATTCTAAAGAAAACCTAAAAAAAAAGGGGTGGGGGTTAGGCTCATGCCAGTAATCTTAGCTAGTCAAGAGGCTGAGACCTTGAGGATCTTGGTTGAAAGTCAGCCCAGGCAGAGAAGTCTGTGAGACTTATCTCCAATCAATTACCAAAAAGTAGGAAGTGAAGCTATGGCAGAATGCTATTTGTGAGCAAAAATGCCAAGAGGTATTGCCCTGAGTTCATGTCCCAGGACTAAAACAAAAATAAATAATAAATAAATTTAGGTAAAAATTGCATAAGCAAATACACCTTAGTGTTCTTTTCTTTTTGGTGGTGGTGGTGCTTGGAACTGAGGGCCTGGGTGCTGTTCTTGAGCTCTTTTGCTCAAGGATCTGGATCCATACTCTGTATTGGAATTATTTTCATTGGCTGGCATGGCAAGCCCATCTTACTTGCAGAAGCTGCCAACTTATTTACTCGGATGGAGACTTAAGTTATAAAGAGATAAAATATGCACATGCAATCTAAAGAGGAATAATAAGTACAAGCTCTTCTTTATACACATTCCTAATCATAAGAGTAGCTGAATTGAAATGTCTACCAGACAACAATCCTTACCCTACAACCCACTTTGACAATTACCTTTTCCAAAAATAACTGGTTTGCTTGATATTGATTCAGTTGAGATTCTAGAAGCCTGAGTTATTTGCTTTTGCTTTGTTTAGCTTTTGTGTTTTATACATTCATTAGTTACTCAGACATCTTCTCAGTACAGTAGATTCGGTGGCAGCTTTCAAAAATCCAGGATAAATAACCCCGTCTGCATGTATTATATATTAGCTCCTCTACTACTGACTTCAGAGTAGACATAGAATAAAATGGAAGGGAAATGAGAGGAAAAAAATCAGGACAAGAAAGGGTGTGTGTATGTCTTTTTTCAGTTTATTTGTGGCGTTTTGTGTTTATTATCAGTATTCTACACTTCCAGAATTTAAGTTCCTCCATAGGGAGACTCTTCCCATTACCCAGTACTGTGCCTTGGCAGCACCCAGTAGGCCACCAGTGCCTTTTTATCGAATGAGTGGATGTATCCCAAGGACTTCGTCTATACCTTTCTCGCCACGAGAAAATGAAAAGAGGGATGTGGGCTTCGTGACTGAGGTATAGCTCGATCTTGGTTTGTGGCATCCAAGCCACGTTCTGGAGAGATCCTCAATCCAACACTTTGCTAGGTAGCTTGCTGGTGCTGAAGTCCCACCCTCTAGGCGGGCTTAGGGCCGAGGCTCTGCCTCTGATTGGTCAGAAGAAGGTGATAGGCATGAAAGACAGCGAAGGAGAAGCAAGACTCAAACTTCCGGAAGCGGCGGTTTGCGCGGTTTGGGGGTCGGTTGGTCTGGTGGTCGCCCGTGTGGCTTGGGCAAGAAGAAGAGGGTGAGCCTGGGAGGGAGGTCCAGGGGCGAGCTCCCCACAGAGAGTTACTGTTAGTAAATGGGCATCCTGGGCCGCGTGGGAAGAGGCGTGGAGGGGAGGGACGGGCTAGCGTGGCCCTGTGAAGTAACGGGATACCCAGGTCATTGGCCTGCAAGGCCTCAGCGCTCCTCCCCGGTGTCTTCCCGAAGCTTCCCGGGCTGGCGGCCCCTTCCCAGCGAGGACCTTAGGTCACAGTGGGATGGGTGGAAGAAGTGCGAGTGGGGCCCCTTCTGCCCCAGGATTAGCAAGTCCAGAGTGGGCCTTTACTTTTCTGTTTTCCCGGTCTCTGACAGGTCCGAGCATGGCAGAAGGGGACACCTTGGTATCAGTGGATTACGAAATTTTTGGGAAGGTGCAAGGGGTGTTTTTCCGCAAGTACACGCAGGTATGTGACCTACAGCCAGCTACGAGCGTGCAAACAAAAAGAGACTTGTTTCTGGCAAACGTGAACCGGGAAAGGCTGGCTCTTTGGTAGCTATATGGAGAAATGCATGGTATAGCAATGGAGATGACAATGTTCTGAGACGGGTAAAACGATGTAAATGGCAGATTCTCGGGCTGTTAGCTAAAATGGTCACTGAGCATCTGTTGACACATATTGATGTTTTGTTTTTCCTCTTCCAAAAGGGAAAGTCCTGTTGTGGTTTCATCAAACTCACATATCTGATAGGAAACCACCGTTCACACAGAGATGGCACTTAGACGAATTGATTCTTGCTCATGTAAATTATGTAATTGTTTCCCTTCCTAGTGTGTGTGTGTGTCTGTCTGTCTGTCTCTGTGTGTGCGCGCGCACGCACACCAATCCTGGGGCTTGAACTCAGGGTCTGGGTGCTCTCCTTGAGCTGCTACCCCCACTTCCTGATTTTTGGTGGTTAACTGGAGAATCTCATGGACTCTCCTGCCCAGGCTGGTTTCGAACCAGGATCCTCATCTCTTAACCTCTCAAATAGCTAGGATTATAGGCACGAAACCACCAACACTCAGCAACTTTTTGTTCCTTTTTTTTTTTTTTTGGTCGGTTGTGGAGCTTGAACTCTGGACCTACGCATTGTCCTTAATCTCTTCAGTTCACAGCCAGCACTCTACCACTTGAGCCATAATGCTACTTTCCTGCCTGGGCTGGCTTTGAACTGTGATCCTCAGATCTCAGCCTCCTGAGTAGCTAGGGTTACAGACATGAGCCACCAGCGCCTGCTTTCTGTTCTTTTTTTGACTTTGAAGAATTGTTCATGGGCTGGGAAGGTGGCTCAGTGGTAGAGCGCTTGCCTTGCATGCTCAAGGCTCTGGGTTCGATTCCTCAGCACCACATAAGCAAAAAAAAAAAAAAAAAAGCCGGAAGTGGCGCTGTGGCTCAAGTGGTAGAGCGCTAGCCTTGAGCTGAAGAGCTGAGGGACAGTGCCCAGGCCCAGAGTTCAGGCCCCACGACCGGACCCAAAAAAAAAAAAAAAGAATTGTTCATTTTTTCTAGCTGAATTTCTCAAGTTAAAAATAACTATTCATTCCATAATAGTAATAGTAGCATGGATTCCTGCTAGAGTAATAGAGAGTATTTGAAGAGATAAACTGTTGGCAACTCTTCATCTACTTTAGTGGCACTAATCTTCCCTTAACATTCACACACAAGGGCTGTCTCAGTTTCCCTTCTGCATTTTGTACAGGGATATCAGGCTATGGCTCGCGCAATGTATGTACTACCTCCTTATAGAAAATGACTTAGGGCTGTGGAACTTGTTATTGGTTGTGGGGATTGAACTCTGGGCCTGAGCTCTATTCCTGAGCTCTTCAGCTCAAGGTGAGCACTGTACCACTTGAGCCACAGAGCCACCTTCTGGTTTTCTGGTGGTTTATTGGAGACAGGAGTCTTACGGCCAGCCTGGGCTGGCTTTGAACTGTGATCCTCAGATCTCAGTTTCTGAGTAGCTAGGATTACAGGCATGAGCCACTGGCACCCGGCCTACTGCAGAGCTGTTATATTGCTGGGATTAAAAATTCAGACGGCGGGGGTGGGGGGTGGGAGGGGTGGGGGGTGGGAAGGTAGCTCAGTGGTAGAGAGCTTGCCTTGCATGCCTGAGGCCCTGGGTCGATTTCTTAGCACAACATAAGCAAAAAGAAAAAAGCCGGAAGTGGCGCTGTGGCTCAAGTGGTAGAGTGTTAGCCTTGAGCTGAAGAGCTGAGGGACAGCACCCAGGCCCAGAGTTCAGGCCCCACGACCGGACCCAAAAAAAAAAAAAAAATTCAGACATGGGTGCTGGGAAGGTGGCTCAGTGGTAGAGTGCTTGTCTAGTATGCATGAAGCCCTAGGTTCCATTCCTCAGTACCACATACACAGAAAAAGCTGGAAGTGGTGCTGAGGCTCAAGTGGTAGAGCACTAGCCTTGAGCAAAAGAAGCTCAGGGACAGTGCCCAAACCCAGAGTTCAAGCCCCAGGACTGGCAAAAAAAAGAAAAAAAAAAAAAGAAATAAAAGTTCAGACATGGTTCTTGGAAATAGAAATGTAACTTGACAATGCCTCATACTCTAATTATTTGTAAAATAATTTCTTTATGCTTCATACTCAAAGTGCCTCTTGAAGAAAGAATTGCTGGAAGTCATAGCAAAAGCTTTGTTCCAATTAGCTGTGCTTACCAGTAATATGGAGCAAGTACCTGTGATTTAGTAGATGGAAGTGACAGCTTCAAAGAATAGCCGTTGACTCATGGCTAATTGTAGCAACTCAACAGACTGAGATCTGAGGATAGAGATTTGAAACCAGTCCAGGCAAAAAGGTCTTAAGAGCCTGTCTCCAATTTATCAACAAAGTGTCAGACTAGAGCTGTGGTTCAAGTGGTAGAGCACCAGCTATCATTTAAAAAGCTGAATGAGAGCTGATTTCAGGCCTCAGTAAAATGAGCAAGAGAGACAGACAGACAGAAGACACACAGTAAAATGGGAAAAGAGAGAGAGAGAAAGAAAGAGAGAGAGTGATTAAGTTGCTAAGGGACAAGGACCAGATGATATAGCCCATCTTTCTTGCCTTATATTCCTTCCTCTGCCTCCAGTTTAGAGAAAGAGTAAAAAGAATGTAGAGCCAGGTGCTAGTGACTCATGCCTCTAAGCATGGCTACTCAGGAGGCTGAGATCTGAGGATCACAGTTCAAAGCCAACTGAGGAAAGTCCTTGAGACTCTTAGCTCCTATTAACTGGAAAACCAGAAGTGGAGCTGTGGTAGAGTACTAGCCTTGAGCAGTAAAGCTCAGGGACAGTGCCCCGATGCTGATTTTAAACCCCATGACTACCACTACCAATAACAGAGAATATAGAAAGCGACAAGGAATATTTCATGATTTTTTCTTAAACTTGTAGCTTATTCTTTACTGTTTGTAATCCTTTTTTTTTGTCGGTTATGATACTGTGAACATTATTTGCATGTTTTTGTACAGACATTTTCTGTTCCTTTAGGCATCTACACCTAGGAGTACTTTGCTGAGTTATATAATTGTATGTTTAACTTATTGAGAAGCTACCAAAATTTCCCATTTTACCCACCAGCAGTATATGAGAATTTCGATTTTTTTTTTCATCCTTGCCAATAGCTCTCGTGGTCTTATTTATAATGACCATCATAATGGGTGTGAGCATCTCAGAGGATTTTTGTTGTTTACTTTATTTTCAGGTACCAATAAATTTTAGAATATTTTAAGTGATACAAGAAATGGTCTCCAACTATGGGGGAACTACAGTGCAAACCAGTAACAAAACTGGAAACTGTGTAACAGATACTCTTTTCAACCTGTATTAGAATACACATAATATAAAATTTACTATTTTAACTATTTTTAATATTCAGTTCAGCAACCCATTGTGCTACCATCCCCACCATCCATCCACAGAACTCTTAACAAAACTGAAATTCTACCCACAGCTAACTCCTCATTTTCTCCTCTATCCAGCCCCTGGCAGTCATGATCCTGACTTCCATCTTTATAAATTTGGCCACTTTAGGCCACTCACAAATGGAATCATACTGCATTGTTAACACCTTGGGGAGTGCCTTACTTCCCTTAGCATAATGTCCTCAAGGGTATATCCACATTGAATCATGAATCAGAATTTCCTACTTTTTATAATAATGTGTAATATGTTATACTTGTACGCTCTCAGGGTAGTTTTGATTTGCCTTCTCCTAGTGATTAATGGTGTTGAATATCTATCTTTTCAACGTCTTTTTTTTTTTTTTTTGCCAGTCCTGGGTCTTGAACTCAGGGGCTGGGCACTGTCCCTGAGCTCCTTTTGCTCAAGACTATCACTCAAGCCACAGCTTGTTCTGTTTATGTGGTTCGGAGGAATTGAACCCAGGGCTCCATGCATGCTAGGCAACCAGTCTACCGCTAAGCCACATTCCCAGCCCCTTCAACATCGTTTTACAGGTAAAAGAAGATACTGTATATTAGTGAAATGAGCTCCCTTCCCAGCTTAGTACGCTCCTTCCCTTCTCCACAGCTTAGCATGCTCCTTCCTAGGCAACACTAGGCCCACTTAGTAAAGGCAGTAAATAATCAGCCTCCAACCCCCCCTTTACCTTGGGATGGCACTTCTCTGGGGCAGCTACCACCATATAAGGCAACAAGAGCCCCTTAGAGTGACCTTCAGCTCTGGGCTGCTGCAGGACCCTTATCTACTATTTGGATAGCAGTTATAAATCCTAGTCCACCATGATGAAGCCCTTGGCCCACATGTCCATACCGGGGTCTCCACCTCCTAGCGCCTGCTAGCTCCTCCTAAGCTTCCTAGATTATATAGGTCACCTCAGACAAAAGCCCGTGCTTCTCACTTGTCTCTTGTGAAGAGTCTTGCCAGCCCCTTTCCCGGCAATATACCTTTCTTTGTTCTCTGTACTTGGATGTCTGTGGTTTTCTGGTAAAGGTCTAATAATCTTTACTGTAATCCTTTCTTCTGTTTTTATTTCTCATTGAGTTATAAGACTTTTTATACTGTAGAGAGTAGTCTCTTTTTATATGATTTGCATACATTTTTCTCATTCTGTGAATTTGTTTTTATTTTCATTGATCATATCCTTGACGAAATCTAATTTAGCTCTTCTTTTTTCTTGTCCTTTCAGTTTTACCACTGAGCCACACTCCCAGACCTCTTTCGGTTTTATATCTAAGAAACCTTTGCTTTGCCCAAGGTCATGAAGTTTCATTTAATATTGTCTTCTAAGACTTTCATTGTGTAAGCTCTTAAGTTTAGGATTTTGATCTAAATTGAATTATCTGTGTATGTGTACATGTCTGTGTGTGCATGAGTGTGTGCGTATATTGGTTCTGGGGCTTGAATTCAGGGACTCTTGTTCTTTTTTGCTCAAAGCTGACTTTACCTACCACTTGAGCCATACCTCCATTTCTGGCTTTTTAACTAGTTAATTGGAGATTAGAGTCTCCTGGATGTGTGTGCTTCAGCGGGCTTCAAGCCTATATTTTCAGATCTCAGCCTCCTAAGTAGTTTGGATTATAAACATAAGCCTCTGATGCCTGGCAAGAATTTTTCTTTAAACTTTTGTAGAATTCACCTGTGAAGCTATTTGGTCTGAGGCTTTTTATGAAGTTTTTTTTTTTTTTCCCCAGGTACTGGGGATTAAATATAGGGCATCTGACCTGCTAGACAAATAGTTTACTGCTAGCTACCCTTTCAGACTTTTTTGCACTATTATTATTTTGTGCTGGGCCTGGGGCTTGAAGTCAGGATATGGGCACTGTCTGTGACCTTTTTTGCTCAAGGTGACTGCTCTACTGTTTAAGCCACACCTCTCCTTCTGGCATTTTTGGTGGTTAATTAGAGATGAGTCTCATGGATGCTGATGGCTCATGTCTGTAATCCTAGCTACTCAGGAAGCTGAGATCTGAGGATCCTGGTTCAAAGCCAGCCCAGGCAGAAAAGTCTTTATCTCCAATTAACCAATCAAAAACTGATAGTGGACTTGTAGCTCAAAGTGGTAGAGCATGAGCCATGAGTGAAGGAGTTCAAAGACAGTGCCCAGGCCCTCAGTTCAAGCCTCATGACCAACAGCAAAAAAGGTTTCATGGACTTTTCCTGCTGCATCTGGTATTCAGGTATGTGCCTGAACAGTTACTCATCCCTTTTAGGCCTCCCCTTGTAGTCTAGAATAACAAGCACATGCCACCATGCCCAATTTATTTCTGTTGAGATGGAGTCTTGAAGACCTTTCTGTCTTGGTCTTGATCTTCCCAATCACATGCTAACAAGTAGGAATAGAGGCATAGAACCAGTAGCATCTAGTTCTGGGAAGTTTTTTGACTTGTAATTCAGACTCTTAGGGTATCTGTTTTGTTTTATTTAGTTTGTCTTTGTGGCAATCTGTCTTCATGTAAGTTATCTAATTTTTAGGTATATAATTGTTCGTTGTATTCTTTCATAATACTTTCTACTTTTGTAAGGATAATGGTAATAGTCTTTCATTTCTTATTTATTATTCTAGTCATCTTTTTTCTATATCAGTTTAGCTAAAAGTTATCAATTTTGCTGATGATTTCAAAGTACTATCTTTTAGTTTCATTGATTTTTTTTCTCCTTTTTAAAAAAATTCTTGGAAGTGGCTCTGTAGCTCAAGTGGTAGAGCGCTAGCCTTGAGCTGAAGAGCTGAGGAACAGTGCCCAGGCCCAGAGTTCAAGCCCCACGACCTACAAAAAAAAAAAAAAAAATTCTGGTGCTGGGAATGCCTAGCACACATGAAGCCCTGGGTTTGATTCCACAGTACTGCATAAACAGAAAAAGCCAGAAGTGGCGCTGTGGCTCCAGTGGTAGAGTGCTAGTCTTGAGCAAAAAGCACTCAGAGACAGTGCCTAGGCCCTGACTTTAAGCCCCAGGACTGGCCCCCCCCCCCCAAAAAAAAAAAAAAAATCTTCTGCTTTGCTCTGCTTTGTATTATTGCCTTCTTTTTGCTTGTTTTAGCTTAGCTTGCTCTTTTTTTTTTTTTTTGATTGGTCATGGGCTTGAAATTGGGGCCTGGGCACTGACCCTGAGCTCTTTTTTGCTCAAGGCTTGTCCTCTACTACTTTAACAGTGCCACTTTTTTTTTTTTTTTTTCTGATAGTTAATTGGAGATAAGAGTCTCATGGCACATTAAAAAAAACTTATTAAAAAAAAAAAAAGAGTCTCACAGACTTTCCTGCTGGCTTTCAACTGGATCCTCAGATCTCTGCTTCCTGTGTAGCTAGAATTACAAGTATAAGCCACCAGCACTCACCTTGCTATTCTTGTATGTTACTGATTTAAGGAGACTTAGGTTTTGGATTGAATATGAGAGTTGTTAGTGATTATTATATTCCTGAAAATGTAAAAGGGCCAGACATGAAAAGAGGGCCAGACATGCTTGTCACCTCAGCACTTGGAAGGCAGAGGAGGATTGAGAGTTCGAGGCCAGTTTAGTCAACATAATAAAACACTCTCAAAAAAAAATATATATATATACACACTATCAGAAAAAAAAATGCCAGATGACTGTTAAGAATGCATATGGGCCGAGTGCCGGTGGCTCACACCTGTAATCCTAGCTACTCAGGAGGCTGAGATCTGAGAATAGCAGTTCAAAGCCAGCCCAAGCAGGAAGGTCCATGAGACTTTTATCTCCAGTAAAGTGCTCAGAAAACTGGAAGTGGCGCTGTGGCTCAAATGGTGGAGCCCTAGCCTTGAGTTGAAGAGCTTAGGGACAGTGCCCAGGCCCAGAGTTCAAGCTCCACAACCGACTTAAAAAAAATGCATATGGGTATTAGGAAGAATTAGCTTTTTTCAATAAAAAAAAACCGTTTACTTATTTAGATAGATATTCAAACCTGAACGTAAATTAGTAATATTTTGCTATTATTTTAAAAATTAGAATTGAGGGCACAAATGAAACCTGTTGGAAATTCTCATTCGCAACACCAGTCCAATTTTGGAATTTTTTGTTCATTCTCAAGAGTTCAAATAAATCATATTGCAAGTTATTTGGCTGTTAGATTCTCTTTCTCAAAACTACACAATCATGCTGATAGTTATTTACCATATATGGCAAATAACAACTAGAGAAAGCCAACTCCCCTCTGTTAATATGAAGCAGAAGAATGCAGTTGTTACACACAGTCAGTTGGATATGGTGTCTTCCTCAAAACCCATTCTCAGCATTCTTCTTTTATGTTTTTGTCTCTGGCAGTTAGTAATGCATGCTATATGTATCTCCTGGTTTCCTTCATTCCCTAATTTCTCTCTCCCTTAAACTTTATTTGGTTGTAAATTATCGTTTGTTCACTATCCCAACATGTCTTTCCATTGAACATAACTGATTTGATGGATACTTTAGTACTGCATCAAACATTTTTCTGTGCATAACGTTTTCTTTGGCTAACTCCAGCATTTTCCCGTGTTTACTAGGTCACTATTCTAGCATTTGGACAGGCAATCATGCTAACTCTTATTTTCTTATGCAATCCAACCCCCTTTAATATAGATTATTCTACGAATTAATGACTTACACTATTCTAATTATAAATAAAATTTTCTCTAAAATAGCATTACTTTTGCTAAATGTTTAATTTTGCCTAAGCTTAACAACTAAAGAGCACTGAAGAACCAATGGCTAAAACACTAGCCACTACTATTAGTTGGTCTTTATAAACTCATTCAGTTTTAAAGATACTGTGAGCCCGGCACCAGTGGCTCACGCCTGTAATCCTAGCTACTCAGAAGACTGAGAGATCTGAGGATCACGGTTCAAAGCCAGCCCAGGCAGGAAAGTCTGTGAGACTCTTATCTCCAGTAAACCACTAGAAAACCAGAAGTGGTGCTGTGGCTCAAGTGGTAGAGCACTCGCCTTGAGCTGAAGAGCTGAGGAACAGCACCCAAGCCCAGAGTTCAAGCCCCATGGCCAACACCCTCCCCCCCCCCCCCAAAAAAAAGATATTGTGATTATTTAAACAGAAGAAAAGAATGTCTTGTGAAAACTTGGTGGTTATGAATGCTCAGCATTCAGAGGCTGCTCACAGCTGCATTCTTTCTCCAGGAGGATGACAGAAAGTGTCTTTAATGTAACATAAACATGTTGGGTTAGACAGTTTCTCTATACTAGAAACAGTGGGTGAGTTGCCCAGGGAATTATGAAATACTCTTTTAATGATTTTTTTTTTTGGGTCCGGTTGTGGGGCCTGAACTCTAGACCTGGGCGCTGTCCCTTAGCTCTTCAGCTCAAGGCTAGCGCTCTACCACTTGAGCCACAGCGCCACTTCCGACTTTTTTCTTTTTGCTTATGTGGTGCTGAGGAATCAAACCCAGGGCCTCAGGCATGCAAGGCAAGCTCTCTACCACTGAGCCATCTTCCTAGCCCCTCTTTTAATGATTTTTAAAGATATAATGGACACCATTTCATCTGGATTTGTTTACATGTGATTCTGGTTTAAGACAAAGAATCAGATAACTTCACAATTTTTCCATTTAAACAAACCCAGTAGGCCTTTGATTAAGAGAAAGGAAAAATGGGCAAGGTACAGCCCTGTATCCTAAGAACAGTCAGCCTTAGGGAATTATTTTGAAAATATCTGTTTTGGACTTAAGTCTAAAGACTTAACCACATTTACCACATAGTGAAAAATTCTAAAAATTTCAAGTGCCTAGGTTTTATAGAATTGAAGAAGGAAATGGAATCGAGTGGGTAACACTTGATGTTGAAATCAGCAGTGAGATCCTCTTGCTGTCTTTCTATTTTGATTTTTCTGGACAATGTCAAATTAGTTTTAGCTTGTTGTGTGGCCAAGATTCTGGCAACAGATTATAGTCTTGCTGTGTTTTGTTCCATCTCACTGGATCTCTTTCTCTCTTCTCTCTCTCCCTCTCTCTTCCCTTAGGCTGAAGGTAAAAAGCTAGGATTGGTAGGCTGGGTACAAAACACTGACCGCGGCACAGTGCAAGGACAACTGCAAGGGCCCATCTCCAAGGTGCGCCATATGCAGGAATGGCTTAAGACAAGAGGAAGCCCCAAATCGCATATTGACAGTGCAAACTTCAACAATGAGAAAGTCATCTTAAGGTTGGATTACTCGGATTTCCAAATTGTGAAATAATGGCCTGCATTTTAATTTTCTAAGATAAACTTAGAAGGCTGGACAGAACTATCCTGTGTTCAATATTTTTCAGTAAGTTATTTTAGTGTAAGATATTTTGCTGTTTAATATGTTATACATATGATAGAAGGATTGCAACTGTACAGTTCTCAATAAAATCACCTAAGACTCTTTTCTTTTACAGCAATTTATTATTATTTTTTTTAATTTAATTTTATTTGTGAACATACTGTACAGAGGAGTTACAGTTACATGGGCAGGATAATGTGTACATTTCTTACCAACCATTGCAGCCTCCTCCTTTGTTTACCCTTCACATCCCTTCCCAGCCTCCCCCCTCCCCCCTTATTTTATAAATTTATAAATCTTCAATGAAGTTTCTTTTAGAGGAAATAATTATTTATTTGTGGGAAGAAATTTGTGGGAAGAAGACGTTGAGGTCAATTTAAAGAAAAGCAGTAACTTTGAATCTTTCTTTAAATGGTTTCTTCAGAAAATTACATGATTAAAAATGAACAAATACCAGTTTAATCTATATGCTATTCAAATGATGTTTTAGAGTGATTACTTTTAGTATTCCAGAACATCTACCAACATTCCTGTTCTCTGAGTAAGAAATTCACAGGAAGTGATGCTATGGGCTAAATGGGTACGTTCCCACCCCTTACTTTATATTCTAAACTCCTGAGCCCTCAAACCTCTGAAAGTGACTGTTAGGAGATAGTGCCCGTAAAGAGATAATCAAGTTAAAAGGAGGTTGTTAGTGTAACCATTCCTTGAGTCCAAGTCCAAAACAGACATAAGTTAATCCTTAACTTCCTGGCCAACACACCAAATACATTACCAGAAAGTTTAGAGTAGTTAAACAACTTCAGTACTTGTGTCTGGCAAAAGAAAATTGAGTCAAGACATGAACATAAGGATTACAGAAAAGTTTATTAGAAAAGAGATATGGCAGAGAGAGCGCACATGCGGCATATGCCACGTGCGAGACCATGAGAACACATGCGCAGGTAAGATGGCAGTTCAACCTGTCTCTGTCATTTTGTACTGTCTTCCTCATTACAGATCTTCACTTTGTGTTAAATAGTGAAGATTGAGTGGCTTTCTGATTGATGAGTCTCCTTTCTGTTATATGTAAGATTGTGGTGTCAAAGATTTATAGCCCTATCCTTATTTATTTCCTCATTCTTTTTATTTATTTATTTTTTACAGTACTGAGGCTTGAACTCAGGGCCTGGGCACTGTCTCTGAGCTTCTTTTGCTCAAGGCTAGCACTCTATAACTTGACCACAGGGCCACTTCAGGCCTTTTCCATTTATGTGGCACTGAGGAATCAAATCCAGGGCTTCATGTATGCTAAGCAAGCACTCTACCACTAAGCCACATTCCCAGCCCTTCCTCATTCTTTCCCCCAGTTTATTTCAGTTGTCAGGCCTGTTTTAGTTTATAAGCTTACCTTTCCATCTCTAAGTTCTATAGGCCACAATTCCCTGATTGGCTGCTTTTGTATTAACTCATCATTGGTATGGGCCCTAATCCAATCCTACTGGTATCCTTATACAAAGAAGAAATATAGCAACAGATAATGTGAGCACACAGACAAAAGACCACATGAAGATGGTCATGTTCATGCCAAGGAGAGGCCTCAGGAAAAATCCCTGCCAACATTTTAATCTCAGACTTCTTGTCTCCAGAACTGAAAGCAAACTGCTGTTTAAGCCACCCAGTCTGTGGAATTTTGTCATGGAGCCCCAACAAACTAAGCAATAATGAAAATTTTGCCTCATCAGCCCCAGAAGTCTGCTTTGATTAGTGATTCAACAAGTATATATTAAATACTTACACGGTTCCAAGTATATATTAAATACTTACAAGGTTTCAAGTTTTGTCATAAGTTCCATTTTTAAAGCAAAGTTTCAGTGAGATTAAGACAAAGTAAAAACCAAGTATTGATGAACAATAATTCCCAAAACATTCTCATGATGTTCTTAGAGTTCTGCTCTTCTTTAGTTAAGAAATGGCTGTGCTGGCATTGGGAAGATACCAAAAAAAAGTCAATAAAGAGAGTCCTGGTGTCCTCATTTGTAAATTAAGACAGTTGAGCTAGTACTCAATGTTTTCTAGCTCTGGAAAACATTAATTCTAAATGGAAAACTTTGGGTTTATTCACTGAGTGCCTACCATAGGTCAGGCATTGTTCTTAGCCGCCATGATAAAGCAGTAAAACAGGCAAAATTCCTACCTTCATAAAACTTATATTTCAGTGAAGGAAAACAATAAATGAAATATATATTGAAATAAATATTAGTATGTGCAAAAGAGGGAAAAGTGAGAAAAGGAAAGGAAAAGCAAGTAAAAACAACTAGATCCCACAAAATTAAGAAAAGTGAGGGAAGGGCTGGATTGGGAGGGATGGATGAGAATGTTGAAAGGGGTATTCATAAACTGCTTTATTGAACAGGCAACTCCTTTGTGCTACCACTTAAAGATAATAAGTGGGGGTTTTTTGTTTGTTTTGTTATGCCGGTCTTGGAGCTTGAACTCAGGGCCTGGGCACTGTCCCTGAACCTCTCTGTGCTTAAATCTAGTGCTCTACCACTTGATCCACAATGCCACTTCTGGCTTTTTCTGTTTATGTGGTACTGAAGAATCAAATCCAGGGCATTATGGATGCTAGGCAAGTACTTTACCACTAAGCCACATTCCCAGCCCATAAGTTAAAAATTTTAACATAAGCTGGGCTCCGCTCTGGTGGCTCACGCCTGTAATCCAAACTCAAGAGGCTGAGATCTGAGGATCACGGTTCAAAGCCAGCCCAGGCAGAAAAGTCCATGAGACTTTCTTTGTCTTTAATAAGCCACTAGAAAACCGGAAGTGGTGCTGTGGCTCAAGCGGTAGTGCACTTGCCTTGAGCTGAAGAGCTCAGGGACAGTGGCCGGGCCCAGAGTTCAAGCCCCACAACCAACAAAAAAATAAAAATAAAAATAAACGTGTATATATACACAATGAAATTTTACTCATTAGAAAGAATGGTACTGCATCACTTGCAAAGAAATGAAGGGATCTGGAAAAAAAATAAGTGAAGTCAAGATCAGAGAGACCAGGGATGCACATTTTCTGTCATGTGGAAGCTAGAATTAATCTTTAAATACCTAAGTAAACACTTTGGGATGGCATGCAAGTATACACCAATCTATTAACAGTAAAGTATGGTAGTTTCAGGAAAGAACTCAAACGGTATAATTCCTACCTAGTAAGGCTAACTTACTGTCAAACACGAGGAAATGGGTACTTAAAAGGTGGAGGTAAAATCAAGAGGGAGTAGACAAATGAGAAAGGTAGAAGATAAGAATGCACTAAAAATTCAATACATATCCTAAAAAAATTGAGGGAAGGGATGGAGTTGGAAAGTATGGGGGAGAATGTTCAAAGAGGTGACGTTGATCAAGACCCATTGTATTCATAAACTACTTTGGTGAATGGCAACTTCTTCGTACAGTTAAAGATAATGTTAAAAAATATTAAAACAACAACAACTAGAAAGAAGCCCTTCAAACCATTCCAAAAGATCAGGGCTGGAGATCTTGGGTACCAGCAGGAAAGGACGCTTAGAAAGTAGACTTCCGGCTGGCAACACCTGGTGCGCGTGCGCACTGGGACGTCGCGCAGGAAGCGTGCCGGTGGAGAGTCCCCTTCCGAAGCGCATGCTCGCGGGCGCGCACGAGCTTCTCGAGCCCTGGCGCGCGCCTGGCGTCCGCAGCGGTTGGCGGTCAAGTCGGGTGGAGGAGATTCGAGGTGACTTGGGGGAAAGCACGCGACGCAAGGATGATTCCGGGGACTCGGCTAACACCAGGAAGGCCCTGGTGACCGCAGCAACCTGCTTTTTGGTGCCACACGCTCCAGGGGCCCCGAGAGACCCCCCCCCTCGCGGCCGAGACGGCGTGTTCCCGGGTGGAGAGGAGGGGCGGCGAGGCGGGGCCTAGGTCCGGGGCGGGTTCGCCGGGTGGAGAGGCGGGGCGGGGGCGGGGCCTGGGGGAGGGGCGGGGGCGGGGCTGCTGGGAGGTCCGGCCTACTGGGCCCGCGCCGTGGCTGGGAGGAACTCTAGAGTTCGAATCCTATTAGCAATCACTCACCATTGCTGCGGGCTGCCAAATTCAGTCTTAGCACCTGAAGTTACACAGTTCTGATTTTCCCAGGCTTGAAAAACCAGCCCTGCCACCTGCGAGAGGTCTCGTTTTAGAAGAGATGGGCACCTTTCATGATCCTAGAATCTTACTTTGTCTGTGAGAAAAACTTAAAATCAGCTTCAGACAGCTTCATACCATCATCATTATTGCCAAGGTAGTATGTACTGGTATGTAAAGACGAAGTATTACTGTAAAAGAATATCAATAATAAGGACATTCTAAACATTATATCAAAGTAATACATAGACGAGATTTTAAAGATCAAATAGTAAAGTCATTCTTTCCCATTCCCAGCCCCTGTTCCCTGCGGCAACTATGTTTAACTAATAATAATAATTGTAGTTGGTTTTTTTCCATTTTGTTGCTGGTCCTGGGGCTTGAACTGAGGGCCTTGCTTTCTCATCTGGCTTTTTACTTCACAGCTGGTACTTTTAACACTTGAGTCATGCCTCCAGTCCAGAATTTTTCTGGTTATTTATAGATAGCTTAGGTTGGCTTGAAACTCCCAACTTTGGGCTGGGAATGTGGCTTAGTGGTAGAGTGCTTGACTAGCATGCATGAAGCCCTGGGTTCTATTCCTCAGTACCACACAAACAGAAAAAGCGGAAGTGGCCCTGTGGCTCAAGTGGTAGAGTGCTAGCCTTGGGCAAAAGAAACTCAGGAAACTGTCCCTGAGTTCAAGCCCCAGGACTGACAAAAACAAACAAACAAACAAAAAAATCCTCCCATTGCTCTATTCAGCCTCCTGAATAGCTAGGATTACAAGCCTTGGCCAGGAGAGCCCTGCTATATTAATTTTTCCTATTGCTTCTCCTTCCTACCAACAATGTCTTAACAGTTCATCATACATTTTTCTAAAAGTCATTGTTATTGTATAATGTATAAATGTTATGAAACTAGCTTGGACTTTTTTCATGAATAATTTCTAACGAATGTTTCTTAGCTGAATTTAATTTAGGCATCTGGTTTTGGTGAAGTGGTTAGGATTTCGAG